AGACTGATCGAAATATTTGCACCATTTCTTATGCGTTGGCAGTTCAATAAATTCTTCGTCTTGTAGGTAACTTTCCACAAACTGCTTCAAGTTACAGACTTGGTCAAAGCATTTATCATCGTCCACATCAACTCGTTTACTAATCAGATGTTCCAGGGCCAGGCAAGGCTTTACATCAGGGGTCGGCAAACTTTTGTCGCTCGCGGGCCAAAACCAAAGGTTGCAAGTCATTGGCGAGCCTCATATTTTTAGAATGTTGAAAACCGAACGAATACCCGATGAATCACACTTTTTCACACAGATCAGAAGGTAAATTAAGAGCAGCGCACGAAGACTGACCATTTGAATATTTTCTGCACCATTAAACCATTTGCGCTAAGCATCAACTTTTCTGCGTTTTGTTGCCATTTGTGTAATTATAATTAAATTATAGGGTCATTAAACGCGCAATTGTGAATTATATACTTGTTAGGTTATAACATAATTTAGCCTACGCGTGTCGCAAAATTAATTTTCCGGACGGTATGGCAACCCTAGATTACACTCACTGAGCGACTTATATTTTTGACTTTTCAGCCTTCTCAGTCACGTAAAAAAAAATGTATATAGAACAGGATATGGCAGAACATTCGTTGAAAAAGACCAAGCGTGCACATATTTGATTACTTTCTCATCGTTTTGCCTTGCATGGAAATACAGGCGACATTGTATGAGTTTCTGAAAAGGAACTCCGATATGTCGATATTGAATGAACTGTTAAAATTTTAAAAACAGTGACTCCGAACCCGATGCCATCAGTAGCCTAATTAGTAGCACATTTTTAAGCCACTAATTATGGTTATTGATTACCAATTGAGATTCCAGTCTACATTTACGAATGCCGTCAATCATGTTTTGTCGATGTACGATTGGATCATCTCATTGGCATACTTGGCCAGTATAACACATGGAAGTTGGTCGCAAGATGCTGGAGTTCATTTTGACGATCGAGTCGTGATTGTAGCGCCGTTGGGTTAGGTACCGAGGGGTATAGCGTCGTGGGTCGAAGGTGAGCAAGTTGAGGGAGGGCGGACAGAGGGTCGAAGGTGGTAAGTCTTAGGCAGATAGTGCAGTGGATCGAGGATAGAATAGGTGCGGGAGATAGGGCGATGAGTCGAGGATAAAAAGGTTGAGAGGGAAAGGAAGGTAGTATAGTGGGTCGAGGATAGGAAGGTTGAGGGAGATAGGGCGGTGGGACGAGGATAGGGAGGTGGGTGGAGCAGTTGGCCGAGGCGAGGGAGACAGGGCAGCGGATCGAGAATAGGAAAGTGGAGGGAGATAGGGCAGTGGGTCAAAGATTTGAGTTGGGATTAAATTCCTATTAGACTTGCTTATGGGCTCAGTTGTGTAAAGTAAAGCATAAATCGGTAGCACTTAGAAAAAAAAATTGAAAGTTGAATAATATTTTTGTGAAGACCCATGTTTTATCTGTTAAATGATGTCATGTGATATTTTTGCCATATTTGGTATTCTGAATTTTCAACACTGGGTCGCTGTGACACCGTCAATCTGTCCTTTGGTATCCTATTGACGTGTGCTGTGGTTGGTACCGGTACAGTGTGGTTGGTTTTTGGTTGAATTCTGGTCATGGGTGTCTGCGGGAGTGCCTCCGGTCTCCGGTGGGTTACCAGGGATGTTTGTTCGTGGTTTTGCGATTGCGGGATGGGGATTTGTTGGATGTTTTTATGCTAGACAGTAGGTTAATATTATTGGACACATAGTGGACATAGCGATCGTTTTGTTGTCGGACACCTAGTGGACATAGCGATTGTTTCAATATTATGTTGTTGTTGTTGTTCTTTGACACTTTTGGACACCTAGTGAAAAACCTGAAAAGTCGCTTTTCTCTTTGATTACTGGACCAATTGCCCCGAAATTTTCAGTGGTTACAACTGTATTTGTTAATTTTGATAAGAGCAAATTGAAATGAGTTTTTATATGCCAGAGAAGAACCGTTCCACGATCGAATAGCAGGCCTACATACAGCAACAGGTACTGCAGTACTGGTAAGGTACCGTACGGCAGGGGTCTGCAACTACGGAAGCCTTCCGCTCTGGGTCGCGAAACAATTTAAATTTTCCATAAATATGAGCATCGCGTCTGTGTAGCGAATTTAGCTATAACAATTATATAAAACCTCAATTATATTTTTGGAATCTCCCTCGAGTTTAGACTTCCTTATTTACTGCCGTAACATTAGCCAATCAGCATAAGTGCAGAATTTGACGTAACAATAAACGTTTTAAATTTAGGTTGATATTAAATTTAAAAATAAAAGTGATGTTATTCAAGTAACGTATTTTTTTTTTGCAATGCCGGGGTATTCAGATAGCAGTATTGCCCAAAAGATTGCCAAAGTAGCTACCCTTTAAATCGCAAAGACTCTTTTCAACTCATTATTGTTTGAAATTTCAATCAACTAAAGATGTTATTAGGAAAATTGTCCGTCTTTTTCGTCACGTTTCCGCGGACCGGTAGTAACCTTTCCGCGGACCGGCGATGGGCCGCGGCCGGTGGTTGCCGACCACTGATTCAGTCATTCAGACAGATTTTCATGGTTGTGAATATTACCTCGTTTTGTCGGTTTTGGCGTGTTATTTGTTAGATTTTAGATGTGTTTTTTTTTAAATATAAGTCCTAAACTCACAAAACCATTCTTGAAATAAGTACCCATAATTTTTCAATGGTAGAGTGTAAAGAGGAAAAATTCAAGAGATCAAAAGTCGGGGAAACATTCGTTACTTAGTTGTTCGCATTGTTATATCCTACTACGTAGACTTTAGGTTCTAAAGCCTCAGGACTCCGTTAAGGCACTTCCACACTGCTCCATTCTAATTTCTAGGTTTTTATTTCAAGTCTCAAAGATTTTGTTTTCTCAGCGGCATTGTATGTGAGAAACTAATAAAATGCAAAGTACGGTAGCATCTAGTTCTCGTATAAACCCCTAAACAGTCTGCAGATGCACTTCCGAAAGAGACAACCCGTTGCGAGAAATGAACAGATCAAATGCATTGTTATGACATAAACTATGTCAAAGCCAATAGCTGAATAAAGGTACACAGTGGTGCATACATACGTCCAAGATTAGGAGTTTTGAAAATTACCATACCGGCCGAGAACGATAAATTAACAATTTGAACATGAATGACGGTACAATATAATAGTTACTTATCGATCTTAAGATCGGTAAGTATGTTGATAGGTATTTGTCTGTCTGTTAGATACACGCGATATCTCCCGAAAGCGAGGTTGAATCTGCTCCAAATTTTGCATGTGCATTCATCATAGTTCGGAACAGAAGCCTATTTTCGATGAATTATGTCGTATGGACCTTTCCCCGAGCATCGACGTCCTTGTTTACTTCGTGACATTGGCCAATCAGCAAGATGCAAAAAGTGACGTAACAATGCCCCCTTTTTGCATCCGCTCAGACACTTTTCTCACTCAGACAGATTTTCAAGCGTGATTGTAAACATTACCTCGTTTTCGCGATTTTGAACTCTATTTGTTAATTCTCAGTTGTGTTTTGGGAACTTGAATAAAAATCAGATAATTCAATGATCACGCTGTCTTTCTAGGAGTTTCAATTTAATTGCAGTAATGAAAGTTAGTGTAGAAATAGCTGTGATAGACTAGCCTGAAATTCTTTACCGGTACTTTTAAAAAACAGATTGTTGTATGCGATGAATCATAATGATGGTTTGAAGCACATACCCCATTTTACAGGCGCCAACTCGCAAAAGCACTCTTAAAATAGCACTGGCAATTTTGCAATGGTAGAGTATAGGGAGAATTTTCCGAGGGTCAAAGGGCGGGGAAAGGTCCATAATTAGCAAGTTATTGAACAATTAGTGATGGGACACACGGTGTCACTATGGAGTAAGACCACTGTTTTGGGGGATTCCCTAACCTTCGATCGATAAGTCTTCGGTTTCCAACCGAATTCTAGTTTAGTTATTGGTGGATTAATTTAAAGTCGGTTTTTCTTAATTTTATATCACTAAAATGTTAGCATTTTATTTTATTCGTGCCTTGGCGGGTCACGAATAAAACGCGGTGGGTGACTTGGTGACCCGCGGGTCAGTGGTTCGCCATCCCTGTACTATATTATGATTTGATATCAACAATACAATAATGAGGGACAAAATAATGAGGTACACATTACAAGCACGAAAAAGAGAATATATATACGGTACCCAATATCCAGTCATGAATATTGTCTTTGGGATCCTTGACACACGTGTCTTGTGATTGGGACTACGTTTGCTATAATATCAATGTCTATATATATGTAGGCTTACCATACTTCCCGCTTTAGGCGGTCCCGCTTTTTAGCCTCTTGTCCCGCCGTCCCGACAAGTTAGCCAAAAGTCCCGCTTTCGCGTTCAGCCATCCAGTATAATAAACGAACATGTTTTCGTTACTTTTGTTGCTGTGTAGCGCAACGATAGCCTACTTACTGAAGGTGAATGCGTTATTTTGTTTGTTTCGTTGTTTCCTACTAACATTGTTAGCGAACGTATCATATGTAAAATCAATTTTAATTGGTCCTGTTCGACGTTCACGTGAATGTAACATTGAACAACATCTTTTTGAAGGTGTTATCTACAGAAAAACATGCTTGGGCGAATAAATAAATTCTCAATGCTTAAAAACGGCAGACTATTTCATTATTCTTTGTTCCTATTGCTGTACATAAAAGAATCTAAATTCGGACCATTTGTATCGTTAGATTCCTTTCTATTTTTCGAACTGAACCCGATATTTAGACAGAGAATATGCGCATGAACTCCCGATGACAATATTGTCGATGAAGACAGTCGGGATGGCTTTAAATGTAGGCCTTTGTAGTAAAATCGGAAACTGTAAAGTTACAGGATCACAGCTAAGGGGTCGTGTCTTTGGCGGCGTCCCGCTTTGAAGTCTAAAAAATATGGTAACTCTATATATATGGAAATAAGTGACTAAGCTAAGATGTGTATTTATAAATTTTACAATACATGGAGGGAGGTAATATCATTTCTTGGGAGTTTTGTTCAAGCCAAGATCACTTTATACTGCACAATTATCTTCCAATTCCCGAATCGAAAAATTCTCTCCGCCATTCTTGAAATTCTACTGTTGGAATTGAATCCTCACACCCGGAAGGTGTACAAGCTCTTTGTTTGAAGTTTTCCGGTGGCTGACTACATTGATGAGGTGGAACGTTCTGCAAAACATAATTTATTCATTTCTGCCAATTAGTATATATCAATTTAATATTTCAAATTTTGCACTATTTCAACACAGGAGAGATTTCAAGTTTCGACATCTTTGATATTTGAACAGAATAGCCTATATATAATGGCGTCGATTTATAATAAATAAAATTCAAAAACAGAAGAATACACAAGATTACGTCATTAATTAACAATTTTATAAACTTCTTACACGACGTCCATTCATGCATGATCGAAAAGTTGTTTGATAACCGTCACATTGATCCGAATTCGTTGGGGTAACTCGGCATGCTGACCAAGGTTCCCACCTACCCCATACATAGAAGCTTCCTCCTCCTATTTAAAACAAATAGATTTGTAGTGGTTAGTTAAAAAAATTCAACTTTTTCGCTATCTAAGGCAGACAGGTAGGGGTATCAACAAATATTTCGATTGACCAACGTAAAATCTAGCAACAATTTATTGTATCTTACCATGACACGAGTTCGTATTACAATCATCAATTTTGAAAGAATCTTGTATTCCACAATGGCTATCTCTAACATCATTTCCATTCTGATCGTGACATGTCCTAGACAAAATCTCAGTACCCCCTCCACAAGAAACAGTGCATTCGGAAATAACGTTCCAAGGACTCCAAGTAAAAGCTAAAATAAGTAAATATGTATATATATGTACAATAAAGCATTGCAACAATTGTGAATACACAAATAAACATTTAATCTCCTCAGCGTTTTTATTTTTTTATTAGATCTGCCATGTGTATTGTAACGTCATCTACTGCAGTGATTCGATGGTTTCCAAACTTTTTTTTTCGCGACCCCAATTTTTATAAAATCAAAGCCTACAGATACTCGCGACCCCACAACTAGAAATGTTCAGCAACTTCTAAAATTAGTATAGTAGTTTAGTTATCTCAATGAGAACAATGCACCTGTAGCCTATATATATATATATATATAGTAGCAAGTAGACGTTGACGGTTAACACATTGTCCCAAAAAATATATGAATAGCAATGCGCCGAAAAAAAACGCGGAAATCTCAGAAAATTTGACAACACGTGGCATCGTATGAAAACGACGATGTAAAAATCTATTACATCAGAACAATTATAACGGTTCGTTGGTGAAACATAGGCGGTCTTACGATACTCCGGATATAGTGAGATTGCTCCTAAATATACATAAATTTGACATCTTATTCAGTATTTTCCAACAGCGTCTTTTTCGGTTCAATATTAACGTAATACAGATTGCTCCATTATTACTTCGAAAGTAAAACAGAGCATGAAAATCGGAATCACATCATTCAAGTGCCTTTTATTATGCTAGTGTAGCGAATGTGCATTGCGTAACTATGGATTATAATCTATTTAAACCTTTCATATTAATAGCATGTAATATTTCGCAAAATAGGCCACATTATGTTTTCGCACCAGCGATAATGCATTCTCTTTCTCGTTTCGACCAATTTGATGACGTCCGTATGTAACATGATCGAAAAAGGTACAAAAAAGGGAATATTATTCGCGCTCGTAACACTCTCACTCAATTGCATTTTACAAATGCCGGTACCTGCCGACCAGCTGGAAAGGTTAACTGCTGCGTGAATGTTTTACCGAGCGATTTTGGCGCCGTTTTGACAATAAATGTTTTTTTTTTTCGAAGTTAGGCACTTTTCAGGTACCTGTCGACCAGCACAAATATCACTTTTCAACTTTCAAACCCTAGTCACTTTAGTGCGCATGTTTGACAGAAATTAGGCGACCCCGAAAAATCTTCACGCGACCCCATCCGGGGTCGTCACCCACAATTTGGAACTACTGATCTACTGTATCATAGTATTACCCTACCTGTATTTGATGATTTACATTGTAGCAAACGACAACTTCCTTGCCGCGTAGCCGCTTGTTCGCCACATAAAAAGCTCATGACAACTTTATTATTATTGTCCAAACAGTTTCTTATGGATGTTACTATTCCAACTCCACAGGTTACACTACATGTATTTCTCCAAGGACCCCAGTTGTATGAAATTCCTGAAAGTCATCATTGTATGATTGAAACATGTAACTAAATATCAAATTTTTGAAACCGAAAGAATTCTTAATTATTTGTGTTTTTCACTTTGTAATGTATATTCACCACCGTAACGTAATTTGAAATAAGATCAATACGCCGAATTGGGTAATTGTGTGTTAATGCGCATCTCTAAAGTAATATGATCAAACCCATAGGACATGCTTTGCGTTTACACGGTCTTGTAATCTGATCTCTCCCCTTGCAATATTCTTTATCGACAATGCTATTTCTTTCATCCAAGCATTGGCGTATGTTACGGCGTTGTCCCGTTCCGCAAGTAACACTGCAAGATTTTTTCCATGGTCCCCAACGATAAACTGGAATATTTAATGTTATATTAGTGAGTGTTATTATGGAAATATATTATATTCTAGGGAAGAAATTATTTTGAATGTATAGGTAATGTCCTTGGCTATGTTAGGTGTTAGACTTCAATCATTCTATAAACGAAATTAAAATTTAATGATAACGATTTCCAACAGATAACGAATTAGCCATTGAGTCAGTCGAGTTTATTTTATCAGCCAGCAAAAAACAATCTCATACAATATTCAAACAAAAAATTAAAAATGATAATTTACGGTGAGTACCGTGTGGTTTTGCCGAATTATATATATAACTAAAATATCCTAACAGATAACAAAAAAACAAAACAGAAAACAAAAAAAATCCATAGGTGGCGGTGCAATAGTATGCAGGTGCAATTGTCGTGGGTTTAAATGTAATGGAACCTATACAAATATATGGTGTAAACCTTATTGTTAACCAAAAAAACAACAATCATTTGTTAACGCGGTGACCCACTTGGTAATCGTACTTTGTGTTTCACATATGCGATTTTTAAGTAACAAGCTATTACACATTGTAGGAAAGGATGAGAATTAATACAGTCTACCTATCTTTTGCAATCTAAATTGATCCATAAACATGGAGCTTAACATTGCATTTTGAAATAGCTCATACCACACCTTTACATGGAGGCATGCGACACGATTTTCGTTCAGACGATAATCCGGGTGGGCAGTTAGCGTTGTCAACTTTGTTGTGATCGTCATCGAAGCAAGATCTTACTCGTGTTTGAAAGCTGACTCCACATGTAACACCACAGTGAGTACTTTCCCATTCTCCCCATTCGTATACTACAAAACAAATCAACAGATTATTCGACCAGAAAATATAATTAGGTGCTAAACGCTTTACCGTATATAGCATAAGATAAGTTAAAGTAAGTTGTAAGTCATCACGTAAGTTAAAATGTAGACGTCGAATGTACTGTCGCAAAAAGGGAGTGTAAGCAGTGGTGGGATTCAGCCGGTTCTATAGAACCGTCTCACGGAATTTTATGAGATCCGCGAACCGGTTAGCTTTACTGGTTAGTGTCAGTGTTCTGTTTGTAACAGAAACTTTTGTGATGGAACCGGCTGACAAAAAATTTGAATCCCACCACTGAGTGTAAGGTAACAAAATTGGCAAGAAAGCATAAATCAGTAATACCACTCAAGCTTCTGTATTGAAACCTTCACTATTTAAATGCATTTGGAATATCAGATTTTTTGAGCGGACCAATTTTACGTTTTTCACAAGTAAAATAGTCCTACATTGCATTGAAAGCAAAGACAAAAAATAAATTAGAACCTCACTTTTGCATGGCGGAGTCAAACACGTTCTGATTTGTGTTGAATTCACGCCACAGTTTTCAGGAGACACTTCGCTGTTTTTTTGATCGAAGCAAACTCTTAAAATAAATTCAGTTCCAACTCCGCACGTCACGTCACAAGGGCTTTTCCACTCTTCCCAGTGATATTCTGATATAAAAGCTCTAATTTTAATGTACATGAAACGCAGTGCAGTGTTCTAGCATTTCAATAATATTGGGCATAAATGATGCAAATGAAATGAATAGTGCAAAAAAAAAGTCTTCACCCACGTGCCATTTCGGGATTTTATGCAGTGCTCGCGTACCACCTACAAAAGTTGATCAAGCCGAAGACAGTCATAAATTTTCCGCCTTTCTGACAACACAGTCACCAATTTAATGCGTCCGTGCCTGATATCATCAGGGATGGGGATATCCGCTCGCACTCTCACGCGGTTAAGCCAGAAGTTTATTGGAGAACAATCCTTGTGTTTTGTCTCTGCTGTTCACAAATCAGCTTGAACAGCCGCCTACTCAGTGCTGAAATTTACTATTTCGATAATTCAGTTCAAGCACGATAACAACCTCGGTGCGCTAAGGGCGAATCTGTGCGCGCATCAATCCTAGGCACTCTACGACGTCACAGTGGTGAGAAAAAAGACGTTTCTTACCACGGACATAATTTGCCACGATGCCTCAACAAAAACTTAAAATATTATATACCCCATCTCAACTAAGAACTCCACTAGGTCGAAAGAAAGAAATTTAGTGAAAGAATGTAGGCTTCTCGAGTACCACATACTTCGCATACCAGTAGTTGTACGCGTACCACAGTGGGCATTGTTTTTCTGATTTTCCCAAATCTCCACCATGAAAAAAATCAGTTTATTACACTGAATTAGGGAAACATATATTGTAGAGCACAACACTACTTAATTCAATCTTGTCAAAAAAATTTACCAACTGTTTTCCTGGCGAACTTGGAATAGGTTTTTTGTAATCAACCATTCTTCTTAAATGAGACTCAAGTAGCATTTAGAAATACCAGTGAATCCTTACACGCCATTAGTCGTTTTTACTGTGGAAATATCGAAATTCACCATGCGTAAAAGTTAATAAATTAAATATTGTTGATCAACAAAATTCAGAACGATGTTCCGAACGAAAAATAATTCTCCCGACCGACGACCTTATTATCAATATCAAGGCAATCTCGATCACGGATTTATATTCCTATGCCGTTTGGAACGGAACATACTCCGACCCATTCAATTCACTTGGAATCTATAATATGCATAATTTCGACCACGCTAAAAAATTGATTTAGGTATAAGTCCATATATACGTCAGTTAGTCAAAGGCCGAATAGTAAGAGTGATATTCTGGTTACTACAGCAACAGCTCAATCTAGTCTTGCGTTTGCCATAATTAATATTGAGCCTTCCAACAATTATGGTTAGCGTATTTTACATGAATTACCTTCGCATTCTTTGGCATGCAAGCATTTGCCATATATATTTGTTGGGTAATCGCCGCATAAAATGGGTTCTTCCCGTTTTTTACTGATTTTCTCTTGGCATTCACGAGTCATCTCCACGCTTCCTTCTCCACACGATGCATTGCACTCTCCTTTCCAATCGGACCATGAGTATTCTGTTAATTGTGAAAGCAGGATTTTACGCAATATCGTTAGCAATATCAGAAACTCGCGACGGGTAGCAAAAAAGTTTGACACGCCCCTGATAATAAAATCTTCAATATGTAACAATTAGAAATCCTGCGTATTGAATTTTCTCATCTTTGTTTAAGAACATAAATAGATTGTGTTACAATATTGTTTTAATTATTTAAACAACTGTGGTGCTTCAGTTTTGTTTTTTAAACATGACGGTAATAATATGAAGTTATTCTGAACGTAAAAATTAGGTTTCACATTTGAGAAACTTGCTGCAAGCAGTAACATACAAATCGATTTATCTGTGTGGTCGTTTGTAGCGTTAATAGGGTTCTGCCTGCAGAAGTTCAAGAGTAAATTTTGAAATGCTCTGTTAATAACAAAAATTTCTACTACCGGAAAATATGATGGAAGCGCTCGGCATAGCACGCATATGAATCGCTTAGTCCAGGGGTCACCAAACTACGGCCCGCGGGCGAGATCCGGCCCGCGGGCGAGATTCGGCCCGTGGCGTCCTTTCATCTGGCCCGTAATAACACGAAAAAATATCAAACTGTTCTTTCAAGGGATATTTCCCCGAGCATCGACTTTCTTGTTTATTTCGTAACATTGGCCAATCAGCAAGATGCAAAAAGTAACGTAGCAATGGGTCTTTTCTCCTCTTCCCAGATAATTTTGTTACTCGTATAGATTTTCAGTCGCGATTTTGAATTCTATTCGGTAGTTTTTGGTTGTGGTTCGGAAATTTAAGCATGAATCAAATAAGTCGATCAGCATTTTGTCTTCATAGGAGTTGTATTTTCATAGCAGTAATCAAAAATTAGTCTACAAATAGCTGTGATAGAATAGGCTAAAATTCTCCACCGGTACGCAACGTTTTCTGCGAAGGATGCACTCGTGACACAGGCTTTCGGCGAAACTGTTGCTGTGTACGTTTCTTGTGCTAAAGTGAACGTCGAACGTACATTTTGTGCTAACTAATAGTACTGTAATCTCTCGCGCACTGCCCCTATTTCACAAGACACATTAACTTCTGTACTGCTCACATGCGGATATTCATGACAGCAATGCTTTGCTAACAGCTAACCTCAGGGTAGTTGTCTAGAAATATTGTTCATTTATTTTACTGGGATGTTATCGATCTATATTTTGCGATATAGAATTGAATATTTATTTAAGTCTTCAGAAATGTAGAATTTATATTGTTGAATAAAAAGAATGGATTTTCCAACTTTTGTGAATTAATTGTATTGCAGTGACAAAAATATTTGTCCGTTTTGAACATAGTTTTGAGTCATACCGGGCCCGCGGTCAAAAAAGTTTGGTGATCCCTGGAGCCTTAGTCGCCGTCAAATATTTTGTTGTCACAATGAGTGCATTCACTCGCTTGGATTATTGTTTGTCTATGTTTTACACAGTTTGGTCAATTTATAGCAAACTTTCCACTGCTTAAACTTGGTTAAAATTAATACAACTAGTTAGCACTTAGCAGTTCGATAATGCCAACTAAATCCTCACCTATGCAATCTGGAAGAACACATATGTCAATATCGTAATGAATCCCATCGCAATTTTGTGGATCAACGGTATCGTTATGCTCGTTCAAGCAATTTCGTCTAAGATACATTTCACCTTCCCCACAAGTGACACTGCATTGCTCTGCCCATGAACTCCAGTGGTAACCTTCAAAAATACTTCGCAAAAGGATCGGAAAAACACGTGCTTATTTAACAACAAAATTAAGACTATTGCAGGAGATTGCATTATTATTGGCTTGTTAGCTCATCCAGATGAGGTTCTAGTTAACTTTTGCAGAAAAGTTGGTCTAATCATTTTACCTGATTCTCATACGAATTTATAGTAGCAAACTCTATACTAGCAAAAAATTATTTTTCTAAACAGATATGCAGAGAGTACCAGGTAGGCGTGGTAATATGATTGCAGTAATTGAATTGAAATGTGCACACCTTTGAGGGATTTAGAAATAACCTCCTCTATCCATTCATAAAAATCTGCAACTTTTGTGTAAACTCCGGGTAATCTTTCTGATCCACATTTCTCGGGTCCAAAACTTGTCACGCCGTATAGTAATCCATTACATTCAAGCGGACCGCCACTGTCCCCTCCACAAGTGTCTATGCCGCCGGCCTCATATCTGTCGATTAAGATCGTGGGAATTAGCATACAAGAGAATAAACGAAATAGGTCTGAAAGGAAAATGTTTCAGGTGGAAATAAGATGTCAAAGTGTAAATATAGAAGACAGAAAAACAGGACAAGGATGAAGAAGGAGAATCTCTCTACTCACCCGGCGCAAATTGTACGGTTAGGAATGGTATCACCAATTTGTTTGTACCAATCTTTACAAATATTTTGGTCTATTATTTCTACGCTACCTTTTTGTAACTGCTCTGGTAGCGTCATATCTGCAATTAACAAGTTTTATTAATAGCCTGTAGATATATAGGATAAAAAATATTTGTATTAGTCAAGTTTATATGAATTACGTACCTTCAACATATCCCCAGCCAGTCACACGACAAAATGACATGTTATCAGCAATATAATCAGGTGATATATCGATAATGGACCATATTCCTCGAGATTTCAGCCACGGAATCTTAATTAGACATATGTCGTTTTCCCAAGTTCGTGACGTATAGTCTGAAGTCCGAATTAAAAAGCATTAACAATAACTTCTTGTATTCAAACATTAACATACATTTAAAATATAGATATCTATAAAATAACGCTACAATTTAGGTAAAACGAAGACTTCACCTTCATGACAAATAATCCTTTCTGCCGTTGTATTTACAGCGTCTGCCGTGTTTCCATATTTACTAGTCGTCCCCATGGTTATTCTCGTTACAATTTGACTACCCCTGTTTCAAAAGTTTAATTTCATATCATACATTCGAAATAGATACACCCACATCACGTTCGTGACATAGTTGTGAAAGAAAACTTCTGATGAAAATTTGGAGTTAAATATTTCTCAACCACCGGTCCCCGGAATGGTGCCGTTAGCCGTTTTCGCTGGCCCGTAAGAAATATCATTACTTATCGATCTCCATCGGTAAGTATGTTGATAGGTGTTTGTCTTTTAGACTCACGCGATATCTCACGAAAGCGAGGTTGAATCTGCTCCATTTTACATGTGCATTTATTATATCTCGGACCAGAAGCCTATTGATTTTGGATAAATTATGTCCTATAATTAGTGAGATATTTTTTAATTAGTGATAGGACACGCGGTGTTGCTATTGATTTTTTAGATTTTACACCTATGCGGATCAGAGTGGAGTGCTTAGATATTTTGGTTACAGGCCGCTTTGACTTTGTAGGGCTGGTCTAGTAAAATATTGAACACAAGAAGATCGATAAGTCGGCGGTCTCCGATCGCTATCTAGTTCTGTTATATACTGTTCATTTACTTCAATATTTTGTTGCATTTTATGGAGTACATTTCATTGGCCGGCTGAAAAATATATATGACATTTGTGTGATGAAACCGGCTGACAAAAAATTTGAATCCCACCACTGTTTGTAACCATTACAATACAGAGTATATACCTTCCGCGTTCGGATTCAGTACTCTATTTTATACTAACCACACAGTTTTTACTAACCCTTGGAAACAATGAGCAGCAGTCAAAATCCAATCATGTCTTATGAGTGAACCTCCGCATTGATCAGCGCCATTGTCAAGTTCTATGAAGACTTGCCACGGTGATTCTATCAAACTCAGTACAGGGTCTCCCCCAACTACATGTTCGCCCCCTCCTTGACAAGGAATAACAAATTTGTTTGGTCCTTCACACATAGTGTCATTCACGATTCGATCTCCGAGTTTACAACGCCGTATCCATTCTTCAGCGAGATAACCATGGTCTTCTTCTATCTCTATCACACATATATCTGATATACGGAACCAAGATTCCCAGGATGCTGTCAAAAAATAAAGTACATTTATTCCAGGAAACAGATGGGATCTATGAATTGTGTTTGCTAAGAATATTGGTTGTAATGATTGTTATTACAACCATTATAATTTATTATTTTTACAGGTGAAAATAATATAGGACTCTTATAAACTGTAACTAGAAAATCAGGCAGCATGGCTGTTTTAGGTAGACATCTGTAGATAGGATCAATACATAAAAATCACTGTCTTTAACAATAACAGATAAATTTCATTATAGTCTAATGTTACTGTTTATATGGGGTTCAATTTGCTATCATCACCCGTTGTATATTATATGTATTTAAAGTAGCCTATTACGTGCTTTCGCGCGTATATTTGACTGATATTCAGGAAACCATGCAGACATGCTTCACTTACTATTTTACGTAATTTGATCAATTGCAACGCAAAACATGTATTTGATTTATTATTTGAGTTCTTTTTACAATGAAATTTCGTAAACGATGACATCATTAAGATTAACAGTCCTCACCTTTCTCTTCCAATACGTTGACATCTGATTCGCATACGATGATGAGTATTGAAATGAGATAATTCAAATGTAAAGTAACTTTCATTTCTTCTGGAATCCTTATTTTTGCAAACAAATGAATTCGTTAATATAAAATTTTTCAATTTTTTACTAAAATTGTTATAAGCTTAAATTAGTTCTTACTATTTTTTTCTATTTATTTTGTAAATTGTCAACTTGCCCGTTATTTTTACGTTTTTTCAGCTAGCTTTCAGAAACACTCTGATTCCCTTACCAGTATATTTTTTAAAGAATACCGATTAAAAAAACTGCGCTGCACTTTTATCTTTAGAAGTGGTTAGAGAGGCTGCTATATTACGAAAAACAGACTACTAATACCCTTTCTCTGTATATCAGGTTTCTAAATTTTCTTGCGCTATGCTCTGTATGTTTTCAATAAACTTAAATCTTAATTGGAACTATGATATCATCTACAGCTAATTTCTTTTTTGCGGCAGGCATACATACATTGCAAACTGTCCAAAACTGCTTATCCAACTAATCCATCGCGTACTGATGTTGTCTCGATTGCCCCGAGCTATTTCACCAATCACGATTCTTCATGAAATTTATTTTATTCATCATTTCATTTAAATTCATTATTTTCCAATTTGCTATGAAAGAAAATTAGGGTAATGTGGATGCTTTTACTGTTTTTTCTTTCAACATCAAAATAGGCATTTACATGTTACTATTTCAGAAATAGACTTTTCTAGCCTTTTTATTAGCAACATCATTCAAAATATTTTTAGAGTCAATATCTTGACTTAAGCAATCTCGCTTTCTTTGTAGTCTTTCTTGTGCGACCGCAGAACTCAAGCATGTTTTAATTGGTTCCAGCTTTGAAAAGTTTCTTTCCCCTGATTCAACAGTTATTGGCATCGTTAAATAAATCCTCAATGCAATGAAAACACCAGGAAATGTTGTAAATATCTTATTTTCTATCAGGTGTTCGAACATAAAGCAGAATAGAATAACTTAACTTCTAATGGTGACATAACGATAATTTACCATGTATAACAAATCGATATTATAAGGAAGATTATTTCACCTTTTATTTTACGTTTTTCGTAGTATTTTATATCTCATAAAACTGAAAAGACCCCCCTCAATGTGAGGGGCCCCATTTGATAAAATCGGCTTTGAATAAAAGTGACAAGAATAAGGTAAACTGTTTATTGAAAAAATATTATAACAGTCTTAAGTTGTGAACACATTACAAGCACGAATGATAGATAACCAATTTATATGAATGAACAGATCCAAGTCATGGCCATAAAATTCTTATTTTGGTGATTTTTTTTACAGCCGTGGCTTCTCATTTGGATTGCACTTAATTAAAGTGATTCCGATGTGAACACGCATATCTCATTAAAACATTTCTATTACGTGGAAGCCATTAAAATATTTTATGTTTTATCGAATGTAGCACGGAGTAACTGTTTATTTTATGGGGAGTTTGTTCAAATGAAGATCGTTTTATATTGAACAATTATCTTCCAATTCCCGAATCGAAGAATTCACTCCGCCAATCTTCAAATTCTACAATTGGAATTGAATCATCACACACGAGAGGTTCACAAGATCTTTGTTTGAAGTTTTTTTGTGGCTGACTTCATTGATGGAGTGGAACGCTCTGCAAAACATAATTTATTTATTTCTGCCAGCTAGTATAAATTTCAAATTTTGCATTATTTCAAAATTACACTATCTCACAAAGAACATATTTTAAATTTCGTCATCTTTTGCATTTGAAATAGAATAGCCTATATATTTTGCAGAATGGCATGGGTTTTTAATTACAACAATCAAAACAAAAAAATACTCAAATCAAGATTAAGTCAGTAATTAACAATTTTATAAACTTCTCACACGACGTCCATTTTTGCATGATCGAAAAGTTGTTTGATAGCCGTCGCATCGATCCGAATCTGTTGAGGTAATTCGGCATACTGATCAAAGTTCCCACCTACCCCATACATAAAAACGTCCTCCTCCTATTAAAAGAAATACATTTGTAGTTGGTATTTGTAAAAAAATTCTAACCTCTTCATGTCAGGTTGCTGAAACACCTTCGAACGAAAAATATTTACATTCTTTGCGGTTCGTTTTACTGTCCCGATGTTTATCTTACCATGACACGAGTTCGTATTGCAATCATCAATTCTGAAAGAATCTTTTAATCCAAAATGACTATCTCTAACATTGTTTCCATTTTTATCGAGACATATATATGTCCTAGACAAAATCTCAGTATTTTCTCCATCACAGGAAACGGTGCATTCGGAAATGACGATCCAAGCACACAAGTGAAAGCTGAAATATTAGTGTTAATAAATGAATATAGATATAAGTGAGCATTGGCACAATTGACAAATAAACAATTAACTTTAGAAGCGTTTTTATTTTTTATTGAATCAACTATGTGTTTTATAACTTCATTTGTTTCAAAGTCTTACCCTACCTGTATTTGATGATTTACATTGTAGCAAGCGACAAATTCCTTGTCGCGTAGCCGTTTCTTCGCCACATAAGGAGCTCATGACAATTTTTCTATTATTGTCAAACCAGTTTTTTATTGATGTTTCTATTCCAACTCCACAGGTTACACTACATGTATTTCTCCAAGGCCCCCAGTTGTATAAGATTTTTAAAAGTCATCATTGTATGATAAAAAACTGTATCAGTATATATAATAGTTGGACCTCCTGAAGTATGCGCACCAATATGGCGCACAACCTGAACTCAGGTTGTGTAACACAGTGGTCGGCAACCTTTTTCAAGTGACGGACCGGTAAAGCTTGACCAAACTTTTGGCGGGACCACCTTTATACAAACGCAATAAATTAAACGCATTAGGAAATTTATGTTGACAATATACTAAAAATGACGGTGATGCTATTTAATGTGATGTCTGTATTTGTTTGATGGCCATTAACTGTTCCCATATTCGAGATATGGTCGACATTGACACACGTAACGTGTTTTATACTTCCAGCCTATTTCGTTTTTGTAGGTATTAATATTGAAAACCAGGCCTCACATTAAGATTTCGGGAAAGTTAACAATGCCTGTATCGTTTTGTTGGGGAGATCTTAGTCGGACTGATGAGAGACATTCTTATACGGGCATAGAGAAAACAATTACCCAGACCCAGCATTATTGCGACATACTGACATGGCAATTGTTTATGAAGCAGACATGTTGCTCAATAGTGTAATGCAGTGGTCGGCAAACTTAATGTACTTGCGGGCCAAATATAAACATTCCTGGTAGCGCGCGGGCCGCAATATTTCCGCCTTCCAACAATCGCTACCATAATTAAACTTCAAATTACGGCGCATTTGCATTGCTACCCTTCTATTGCTGTGTTGAAAGCCTGTCCCAATGAGATGTATATGTGGCGTTTTTTTTATTTTCCAACAATACATTGTTTTTATATACTTAATATCAATGTGAAAGATGATGTTTTTATGGCAACTCGTCGTCCAAATGATGATCTGACAAGCAAGTACGAAATTTAATCTAAGTGTAATGCATTTGGATAAAACTGCTCAAGGCCATATGTTCTTCCGAATGTGCACATTACACGTTTTGCACTGTCGCACAGATGATCTGTGGCGCAGTCCCGGGTCTCGGGGTCGAATTTTCGACGACTCGTTTCGTAACGAGTTCAACATTGAAACCCTTAACAACTGCGATGCTGACTGGGCATATCGAGCAAACTGGTTTTGGAATGCGCAAGAAAGGAAAATATTTTTCCGTTCAAGCACTTTGGAATGGTCGACCCGCGTCGCTCCGTTTCCCAGACATTTTCAAATTTTAAAAATCAAAATTAACTCGAACGACATGCAACCGACGCTACTTGTTACATAAGAAGCGCCGTACAGCAGCATTTGTCACCGCATAAATTCGTGTAGAGACAATAATAATTTTGGGATTAATTTTCGTTTTATTTATTAAATGTCGGGTCGTTCAAGTGCCGCAACAAATTAGCTCGCGGGCCGCATTTATTGCTGATTTTTAGTCGTAGGGTTTGTGGTTAGTAGAGGTTTTATTACGGTCTTGTCCGTTTTTGTGTCACCTCTCTGCGGACCGGCGGTAACCTTTCCGCGGACCGGCGATGGGCCGCGGCCCGGTGGTTGCCGACCACTGGTGTAACAGGTTAGGGTTCAGGTTATGCGACATCTTGGTGCGCATACTTCAGGAGTACCTATTAGTTTTTGAAACCAAAAAAAAAAAACAGAAATATTTCACTTTGTAGCGTATATTCACCACCGTAACGCTACTGCATTTAAAATGAGATAAATATGTCGAATTGGCGAAATTGTGTGCAAATGTGCTTCTTTGAAGTAATATGATCAAACCCAGAGGACATGCTTCGCGTTTGCAAGGTCATGTTATCTGATCTCGTCCATTGCAATATTCTTTATATATTATATTTAGGAACTAAAATAAAGGTCGCTTGAGTTATGACTTGAGTTAGTTTTCAACGTTAATATACTTATAAATCTTACCATTGCTTTACAGATGTTTTTTTTTTATCAAATAAAGTCAATGTCTTCACCTCGAGCATCGATGACGTCACGTCGCAGAGAGTTGACGGCCTGTCGGGCGACTGCCGTAGGCGAGTTTAGACTACTGCAACCATAGACTACTGAGCTCACATTCATAAATATTTAAGTGATACTGTGAAGTATGAAGATTTTAATATATTTAAAGGTGCTCATTCAAAACATTTAATATCAATAAAGTTCAAAAAATTAAACGAACACAGTCCTATAAGTCAACAGTCTAACTTCGCTAACATTACTCCAATTCTGTCTGTAGACTGTATTTGTATTCATACAACATGATCAAAATAAGCCACTTATACAAATAAAAATGCTTTCTAGAGCATATTTATTTATTTTTCTTAACATTTGAGCACTAAAAATATCAAAAACGCATTTCTATAGACCTAAAACACCACCGTAGAAAATGCCAAAAGACGGACAACTCACCAGGCCTCTAGGTAGTCGAGTTGTCTCTGGTGAGTTGTCCGTGTAGTCGAATTGTCCGCCTCCCGGCCTAGTGCTGGTGTGCAGATATGCAAGTGCCGGGTCTCGGAGGCGCAGTTCTTACCACTTCATGGCAGCTCCTGCCACGAACGAACCGCGGCAGCTCTTGCCATGGTTTTATAGCGCTTTTCAGTATTCAGTAATCAGTATTAACGGTATATTCACAAATTAATGTACCAGATTTCAATTGATCATGCGGAATTATATCTACTTAAACCCTAACCCTAACCCCAAATCCATCAAAACTGTATCCATAGGAAAAAACGTTCAACTTACCCAATATTTGTAACCATAAGGGACAGCCTTGTCTTTACGGCCCACCTGCCGTGGTTACGGCAGCAAAATTTTACCTGCCATTGGTTTCCAATTTGCTGCCGCGGTAACGGCAGCTTGTCATCGGTTTGTGGCAGCTAAAAAGTCAGTCGCCATAGGTTTGGCCGTAGCGGCCATGGTATGGAAATACCGCCATGGTTTTGCGGCAGCTGCAGACGCGGCACTACGACATCACAATCACGTCACAGAGCTTGCCAAATATACGTCCGATCCCCCAAAGGCCAAAATGGCATCAGCGCCGACGATGAAGAACTGACTGACGTTATGGATAATAGTTTGAAGGGCTCTATTACGACACTGTGACGTCGTAGTGACGTAATTTTTTGATGGTGTAGTCAGGTGGGGTTAGGATTGACACGTGAAAAAATTGTCATGCTACGCCCACTAGAAGTATGTTCTGATGTTAGGTACGAAACTACATGAGACCCAAATATTCATCTTTCATACTTCTACAGATTTATGAGTTCTTCAGGATAATTGTTAATAGGGGTACCGTATTGTGACTACGAGATGAGCTCAATATAGTCTAGCAATATGCAGTTTAGCATATCAGGGTTCCACTAAGATAAAAAGGTTTTGAAGCAACAAGTTGCTATGTTTTTATTAGGTACCGTATAATAGTACAGTACATTCAATAGTCTACAGCAATTTAAATTTTGACATTCAAATATAAAACTATAGCCCCTCCTGGCCTTTCAACACACAGCAAAATATTTAATTGTTGAATAAAATTCCAATTGCATTATTCAGTTATTGAATGTACCGTTCTATTGTAACTTATTCATATGCAGTTTGCTGAAGGTCTGAAGCTGCAATTTACTCATAGACCAGTAGACTAGACTATATATATATTCTAAATCCTTGATGGGACATTCCAAAAAGAAAAAGTTAGATGTAAATGGGATAAAACATAAAGACAAAAGCGTCATAAAACCGGGATATGTCAGAAAGAAATTTAAGAAAAATAACAAACCAGGAATCAAGGTGGAAATTCCCAAAACATCAAAAGAATGTGGCTCAAATTGGAAGACATTACTAAATGAAATTAATCAAACAAAAAAAGAAAAGGAATGTCACAAAGTGATCGAACAAGCACAAAAGAAGCGAAGAGTGCCAAATAAGAAAGATGCCACATCAAATGGGAACAGTTCCATTAACTTGAGTCAAAAAGATGCTGAGATTTGGTTTGATGACATACCCAAGGAAGAGATTTTGGCTGCTGAACAAGATATTGAAAGAATTAATAACAGTGGGAAATCACAGGCATTCGCTACAGAATCAGTACTGGTGAAAGCAGATGCTTTTGGTGGCCTGACCAAAGTTGGAAAAAATTTTTTATGTTACCGTATTCTGTTTTTTCTGTCATATTAGTGCTTTTTGGTGACTTGTGCCTCAAACTTCTATAGTTTGTTTTTTTCTATTCACAATAACTGATCACCGAATTAAAGCCCAAGGTCTAATACTTGTGTCATCGCAGTGGCGCAGTAAGAGCGATTGGTTCTGCGGTTTGCTATTTAAACCATGTTAGTGTCGCAGGTTTAATATCTTATGTTCTGCAACCATGTCCATGTCTTCACTGACAGGGTAATGAATAGGCTGAACTAGATTGATACCTGCCCTCTGTCCAGTTACCAAGTGTCTGATGTGGAAATAGTTAACCAGCTATATGTTCCAGATACACCATACAACGAAGGGGAGTCCAGAAATCCTCTTGCACATGAGCATGGTAATCGGAGGTGCGATGGCAAGTGTGTTCCTATAGTTTCTCATGATGCACCTACATCAGAGTCTATTTATATATTCCATATATGCAATTCACATTATGTATTCAATATAACCTTATCTATATATTCATGAGATTACATAAATATATTTCCTTATTTTGCTTTTAGGCCGTTGGAATTGACTGTGAGATGGTTGGAACTGGATTCAAAGGAAGTTCTTCTATATTGGCAAGAGTATCAATTGTTAACCAGTATGGAAAATGCATCTATGATAAACATGTTAAAGCTCAAGGAAAAGTAACAGATTACCGTACTTGGGTCAGGTATAAAATATAATTTAGTATATTATACCATATTTATCGAGATCTTGTTTATTTTGTTCATGGCTGAACTGGTTGAAAATGGGTAAGTGTGGCACATCATGCTTAGCGTTTGGAATACGCTTGTCATCGCGTCTCTAATTACCCTTCATAGGTTCGAATCATGTGTGATCCACCATCAAGCCCATGCATCGGTAACGAATAACTAGCTAACAAATCTTTTTCACCAGTGGGATTAGACCATCTGATCTGAAAGGAGCAGAAGACTTTGGAACAGTTCAAAGAGAAGTGGCAGAAATTTTGAAAGGACGTGTGCTCGTTGGTCATGCACTTCATAATGATCTCAAAGTACTCTATCTTTCACATCCAAGAAAGTTTATTCGTGATACTGCAGAGTATGTAGGATTTTCAATTTGCCTAATTTTACTCAATTCTATCAGAAATTTATAGCTGGTATTTGATTCAATACTTTTTCATTAGTATTCTTATTAAATTATTTATTTCTGTGATGAGAATCCAGTGGCTGAAACATTGCTTGATTTTTAACTATAGTTGTATTCAACTCGATCTTCGATGGATTAAATATACAAGAGTTGGCTCTAGAATTTCTTCACTATAACTTTCAGATATTGTAATGAGGCTCGTTTTAAGGAGACGCATGAATTATAATATTAGTACTCTGCTTATTCAATGAATCAATGCATATAATCATCAAAATTAGATAATACTTACTTTGTATTTTAGGTACAAACCATTTCGGGCCCACAATAATGGTAAAGCACCAGCTTTGCGTATTTTAAGCAACAAGATTCTTCACGTTCAAGTCCAAAATGGTGAGCACAGTTCAGTGCAGGATGCTCAAGTGGCGATGAAATTGTATATGATGCATAAGAAGCAATGGGAAAAGGAACTTAGATTAGCTAGAATTGGGAATAAATGAGAAAATACCGGGCGAAGCTCCATCTGAGATTCTGAAGTATGACCAAAATGTACATCGGTATAGTACTTGCTGCCTTAGGCGCTTGCAATCCGCTTATCGAGCCATGAGGTATGGAGGATGTGAAAGCGATTGGTGTGATTTATCCAACTGAATTTGTTGTTAGCCTAACATGAAACGTAACTGTTTTAAGAAGATATTCAATAAAGCAATAATACTTGTATATGCCACTAAAGTTAAAAAGTAAACAATTTTTAGGTCATTGATCAACTAAAATAGTGTCTGATACAAAACATGATCGCTAGCAAGAGAAGTTGCAACCCATATGTCTGTTAATATTCTGAGCTTAATTGCCGTCGAGATGTTTGCGTGGACTCTGTTGCCCTGGTATAGCTTTACGATCGTGTGAGGCATACCACAGGACTTAGCCCGAAATGGCAATCACGAGATTGGAATCATCGCATAATCTATCCGGCTTTATCGAGGTTACCGTGCCAGACTTGGTTTTTGTAAGGGCAGGATGTGGTAGATATGTTGCATTTAACGACTTCGTGTGGTGTGGTTTTCAAGGGCACGAGGTGGTAGATTTTATTTATAAACTTCATTTGGGCGGCTTTTTAAGGACCTGACGTAGTAGATTTGTTTTCATTTGGGGCGCGTGGGGTGATATCCACTTTATATGTCGCTGCACAGGTCATCCAGGTCTAGCCTAGCTAGATTACGATCTGGTCAATCACTGAGTTAAATATCACCACCAGTTAGTTCATAAAGAGATCGAGTCTATGATAAATGATTTGATTCCAGTCAATGAATCGACCGTCCTCAACACTGGTGATAACGATAAATGGGACTAGCTAAAAAAAATCGCGTTATTGACTAGGTCTTATTTTAAAATGGGGGGGAAGGTTCTCTCTCTTTCTCGGGATAAATATGAATATTAGTTCGAAAAAATTCTCGAGGCCACTAAGGCGTGAGGTTAGGCTTCTTACCTAATGAAAAATCCAGCCCTCGTGATGGGAAAGAATGATAACATAGGCCTACTCTCTAATCGCGCTTATAGCCTGTGAGCATAATGATAATTTTATGCTACCTTAAGTAATAATACAATGGTTTCCGAACATATGACGGTTGCGCGAAAATATTTAAAAGTATTCTGCTGGTTCCATATTGAATAGCGTCAAATACTGCGTACAACTTTCCGATTATATATTGCTTAAATCCCTGTACCCTAATATAGTGAAATAAATATCCATTCATTTCTGTGATTTCACATGTGCTTACGACATTCAATCACACGTTCGGGCACGTCTGTAGAGTTGGAGTGTGTTCCCCGTTTTTTAATTGTTGGGCGGGTGTTTCGAAATTTAGGGGGTGGTAAATAATTTGCTATTAGCAATGAAACGATGCACATGAGGGGTCCCCCAAGTTGATTGACGGCGAGGCAAAATACACAGCAGAATAAAAATGTAGGGCCAGAAAAGGGGATCGAGGAAAAGTGCGCGACGACACGGCTGGGGTTCAGGGCGCGCTCAAGCGCCCTGAGAAAATTTTGAGAAATAAGCACCAAAATAGGCTCTAAGCTTGATTTTAGATACACCTAGCATCGCAGTTTGTTATGTAATGAAAATAATAATTATAATATTTAGCTGATAGAATTCCCGAGAAATAAATAACAAGCACGGCTTTTAGCAAGTAATTTACAACTTATAGTGACTAATGAAGTTACTTGCTCATCTAGCATATGGCATCGTATGAATGGCTACTCGTACGAATGGCTACTTCGTTACACATTTCACATTTTTTTGAACATGTTTGTTTGACTTTTGTACGAATCAAGCAATGAATTAAATTTTGAAATACGCGCGTCCACGGATCATAATGGCGCATAATGTTGTATTCCTTCAGAACTGAAATATTTTGTTGGCAAGGAAGAAAAATCGCTGAAGTTTTATTTTTTCCAATAAAGAAGTAAAAACCTTGCCATTCATCTAAAAAATGTCTGTTTTCAGTGCCTAGTTTTCGTTTTGTGACATCTTCAAGCTTTCTTAATATATGGCTAATACGGTATCTAAAATACTGCGGAGTGCGGTGTGTAATCGTAATACCCATAAGTATACATAAGATACCGGTATAATTCAATTGTTACGAAATAAACGTGCTTAAACGGTGATAATGATGTGACGATAGACGGAATCTAAAACTCAAAAGTACCACATGAAGTGTTAAACTAATTCACTCAAGTTCGGCGGGCCATTTTAAATCGTTATGTGGGCCGTAATTGGCCCGCGGTTTGGAACCCCTCATCTACACTGATAAATATTCCACAGTCGTTATATTTGAATACAATTATAATTGAGTCAGGAATTACAGTGTGGACTGTGGAATCGCCCATGGGAATAACAGTGTCGAATCGCACCTCAAAATTAGGGGGGGGGGGGGTTGGAAATTTTAGGGGGGGGGGGGGTGTAGGGAAATCACTGGGAGTGAGCATGTTGCCTTGTAATCGGAGGGGGGTGTTCACCCCCTATAGGGGGGGTGTAGGGAAATCACTGGGAGTGAGCATGTTGCCTTGTAATCGGAGCTTTCAAACCTTCTGGGAGTCAAGTTCGTGCATCTGAAAACAAATATCAGGCTAACCAAATCCCATACCCATTACTGTAGAATAAACTGCGGTACGCCATATGATTTGTCGTCTTATCGGGTTTTCTCTCTCTTTCTCGGGATAAATATGAAAACCGTATCCTGATTCGAAATATTGAATTCATCGGAGTTGGAGTTTCAGACTTTTAAGACTGATAATAAAAGTCAAAATTCCCTACACTAACTCTTCCCTAAGTTGATTAGCCATTTTTGAATGACATCCATCAGGGCATCAATGCAACGTTTAGCCTGCTTTGCCGCTTTAAATCACCAGCCATTTTCTGTCCAGAGTTCTATCGCTGTATGATCCTAACTAAGTGATTTAAACCAGCGATCGTTAAACAGCTGAATAAAAAAAACGATGCTCAATAATTCGGACTAAACTTTCGCAGCGACAAAACGAATGAACATTCTTCTGAAAAATTATTTATCCGCCAATGTTTCTCGGATAACTCGGCTCGGTGGTATGGTCAGCATACGAAGTTAAGGTTAAAGGTATCCAACTTCACTCGATAATGCAACACCCAATAAGACCACAATATTAAACAAAAAGATACACATTTAATTATAAAATCCCTGATGTAAGTGTCGCTACTTGCACAGAACCTATTTTAACAAACTGACATAACTACAATACAAATTATACTACAGAAACTTGCACTATTATTGCGGTACATGTCATGATATTAAAATATGCGTATCGCAAATTTTCCACAAGGTGTACATTGCCAAAATAATATTAAAAAAATATACTACATGCATGGAAAGAAGGATAACTGCGTATATCAAGTTTACAAGAACACCTAATAATCTGAGTGTATAAAATAATATATTATCTATTTGACTTGAGCTCTTGCCGCAGGTCTACTAGCATACCAAAATTTTAAAAGCGATATAGTGGCAAGATGGGAAATTATATTTCAAGCAACTTTATCTGTCAGAAAAGTAACAGGCGAACATATATTATGAAAGGCATTAATATTGGCGCGAAATATAGTTTATACTTCGCGCAAACATACGATTGCTTTTTGGATGAGTGGCATAAATATTGGGTAAAACTATCAATTTTCAAATATTTATCATGGTGTAAGACCGAAAAAGAGTTAGTAACGATTGTGGGTATTCATCGGGATTGACACTTTCCATAGAAACAAACAAATAATTTGAACCCCGTGTCTTTATAGGGTTCCCCCGGAAACATCAAGGCTAATTTTTCACTGTTGGATATCGATAAAATTACAATTAAGTTTTATCAAAGAAAACGTAGAAGAGATGATGGCGTCGCTAGATCACCTAGTAAATATTTAAATATTTTACATTTTCTGACGAAAAAGAATCGAAATATCCCGCCAATAATAAGTTGATAAGAGCTGCAACACCAGTCGCCGTGGCTGGTTTTTAAATTTTGTACCTCATAATGTACATGCTTCGATAAATTCATTAGGCCGCACAATGTGCTAGCCAGTGGCGGCGCGTGGTCATTTTGACAACCGGGGCAAGCTACTATGGGACCAAGTCACCCCCATCTACGGGGACAGGATGAGCGCTGTAAGTTCTCCCATCATTTTATGAGTATAAAAACTATTCCATCGGTAACAACCAATCGGCAAAAGCGACAATTTTTAACGATAAGAAAGTGTCTTTAAAACCGGTCCAAGTCAAGGGATTAATAAATATAGACATAGTTTATTTTGAAACCTCTTTCAAAAGGAAAGGCAATATTTACCCAGATAAATACAATGACATATTAACAGAAACTTCGGGAAAGCAGAATATGTCAACACGTTGTTGTAAGAAACGTCGGCATTGTGTCGTCATAATTTCGGGGCTAGCCCCGATGATTTAGTAAAAGAAACAGAAAACAAACGAGACAAACGCGGCGAGTGGAAGATAAAAGAGAGAATACGATATACAATGAGAAACCGGGGCAAAATCGGCGTCGCCCCGTCGACGTTCGGCGAAGGCTTTGCGAGCGAAAAATGAACCATGTCGGGAGAATATGGCTAGTGTAGACAGTCTGTGCAACCGATATTGAGGTATTTTTCGAATATTTTTTATTATACCGAAAAAACAACCGGGGCATTGCCCCGGTTGGCCCTATTGACGCGCCGCCACTGAGGTTTACCATCTTTCACCGAATACCGAATGTTCGGTATTTTACTGCATTCTCCAGATGCTCCATAGAAGATTGATGATCCCTGGCACGCTCGGAAAGATGTTTAAGATCTCTAAAACCAAATTTACACCAACGTGAGTCACGGGCGGTAGCAAAAAGTAGGCAATAAAAACAAAAAATTGCATTTTTGTCCTCGCTGTAACACAACCATTCGTGTTTTTTATACCAAGTTTCTGCGCAGAATGTACGCCGACGCTTTCCTCCGTCATGGGATTGTTCCAGTGAACAATTGTTTGGTTGATAAGGCCCAAGACGTTGTACCTCTAATTTTTGTTCCAGCGGCAGCTGCGAAAACGGAGTGCGAAGTAGTGCATCAACCTTATTCATTATGAGGTCTAAGGCTAAGAAATGCGAAGCCGGAAAGAAGTGAGGAGCTCAAAAGGAATGTGGAAAATCGAAAGCAAATGGACTAAAGGTCTCTAACTGATTCAAATAGCGAAACAAGCGACAAAAACGAAGGCGAGGAAACTATCAACTCCTCAAGCAACCAACGAACGAGAAGGAATGCGTGAATATGTCAACACGTTGTTGTAAGAAACGTCGGCATTGTGTCGTCATAAATTCGGGGCTAGCCCCGATGATTTAGTAAAAGAAACAGAAAACAAACGCGGCGAGTGGAAGATAAAAGAGAGAATACGATATACAATGAGCAACCGGGGCAAAATCGGCGTCGCCCCGTCGACGTTCGCCGAAGGCTTTGCGAGCGAAAAATGAACCATGTCGGGAGAATATGGCTAGTGTAGACAGTCTGTGCAACCGATATTGAGGTATTTTTCGAATATTTTTTATTATACCGAAAAAACAACCGGGGCATTGCCCCGGTTGGCCCTATTGACGCGCCGCCACTGGTGCTAGCCATGAGATCGTTTACATTCTTTAATTTTTGTAGCAACTGTTGCGACAGCTCGTTAAATTAAGAACAATTTTCCCGAGAAAATTTATTTCATCAGCTTCTGGAATTACCTATGTAAAACGCAGGCTTTAAACTTTCGGCATGGTGTGAACAGGTATCATAATACCAGTTCAAATAGTACCTGATTTAAACGTATGCATTATGTTAATGACGTTTCACAAGGAAGGCGATATGTGTTTTTCATCGGCTCATAGTGCTAAGCGTTATTAATACGCCCGCCACCGCAAATCTGATTACTCTGCGTGGGTTCGCAGGTTTGACTTTTAATCCCATGTGCGGATGGTCCTATCCTAAATCCGACAAAATTATTTCACGAAAGTCGGACCGTTTCCCTCAGTACTGTATAAGAATGTCACAATTATTTCCTGCTGATTTCTCAAGCTCATTTGCTCCTAAAATCGAATAAAGAAACTGGCAAGCGGCAAATTGGCACTCGTTCACAAAGTACTCCGTCTGTCAGATCTAAACATAGCGTTTATAAAATCACCTCATGATCTGCTTAATAAAGACGAACCCATAGCATAACGACCATGGGCCCCAAATTATAATAATACATCAAATTTATTAATATAAATACATAAAAGATCAAAAAATACGGGATTGTATGCTAGAATTCAATGAAGCGAAGCGGTACAAAAGGATGTACAGGTCAGCAACTATTTGAGCTGAACTTAGAAAGTAAATGTGCAATGGAAGAGAAGAACAGAAATCAGGATAGAATGCACCTCACAGTTTATTATAATGGGCGTTGAGGCAAGTTCATGATGATTGTTGTTGAGCACTTTCATCAGAATCTAATTCACTTGTGTCTCCATTTTGTTCAAATTGTCTACTTGAATTTTCAAGTTCTCGGACTGAAAACATATCAATATATCAATTGCAATTTACAAAAATATTATGTGTTGGAAATTTCATAGTGATGGTCCATAGTGAGATACCCACAACCATTGAAACTGATCTCATTTTAAAAGTTTGCATAAGACCAACAGCGAATTTAATATATATACCGGTATATGCCTAACGGAAATACTCATTTTCATTACTTACTTTGTTGCTCTAATAGCCTGTTTTGCCGCTTTAAATCATCTATATCTTGTTGATGAGTTACATTTTTCCTTTTCATGAGTTGAATATAGTCTGTGGCTTTATTTAAAATTTGTGCTCTTGATGACTGTAAAACGAGAATATCGGTCAGAGACCGAAGACTTATCGATCGAAAGTTAGGGGATCCCCAAAACAGCGCTCTTACTCCATAGTGACACCTTGTGTCCCATCACTAAATAATTAATATTTCGCTAATTATACGACATAATTTGCCTAAAATCAACAGGCTTCTGGTCCGAGATAAGATGAATGCACATGCAAAATCTGGAGCAGATTCAAGCTCGCTTTCATGAGATATCGCTGGCATCTAACAGACATACAGACAAATACCTATCAACATACTTACCGATTAAAATCGATAAGTAACAAAGCTCATAAGTATTTGTCTAAAACTGATTATCCACATAATATTGATTACAATTTAGAAGTCACCTTTTCACCCTCTAATGATGGTACAGAATCACGAAGTCCATTAAAACTTTCTTTTATATGATCTCTTCTTTTTCTTTCTAAAGCATTATGATGAGCTCTTTTGTTGGACTTAATTGATAAAAAAAAGTTTGTTATAGTGTACATTTACTGAATTACATTAAAGTGGCAACCAAATTTATTGCTCTTATCTAAAGACAATTTTCAAATCTATGGCTAATTCATAAAAACTGTTCAAAACGAATTGATATTTTTGTGAAAACGTATTGGAAATCGAATTCAAGATAAAAGGAGAATTGTCAATCAGCGAGTCGAAAAAGAGATATTAACATAGCTAACTTTGACTCACCTACTAAAATAAAAAAGGATGAATGTAAAGAAAGGGTTGAAAACAGTGTGCAAGGCGCGGCGGTGTGGCTCATTGTGCTAAGTGTTAGGAATACGCTCGCCACCGCACCTCTAATTACTCTGCGTGGGTTCGCAGGTTCGAATCCCATGCGGGATGGTTATGTGCGAGAGGATTGCTGGACTCCTCGCCGCCGTTGGGTGGTTCCATGGAATGGTAACCGGACGAGAGGCCGTGGTTCGCCATATGGTTAAGCCGTCTTATCACTTTCCTCTCCCCCGGGATAAATATGTAAATCTTTTCTTATCTATCTTTTCTTAGTGTGCATGGAGAAAAAACAACTTATTGTCAATTAAATATAAACACAATATTTCTGAATAATTTGTATAGGGTGTCCAAAAAGTTTTGCCCTATTATAAAGTCTTTATAACCAAATGTTTTTTTTAATTATAGAAATGATTTATAGTCAACCTGTATCTAATTGGATGTTATAAATGTTGGATTTTGTAGTCCCCATTTAGCATAAAACAAAATTTATTCAAATTTGCAATTGAGGTTGCTATGAAATCGGGCGAAACTTTTTGGACACCCTGTATGACAGAAATCAAAAAATGAACAGAGAGAAAGTATCTACATTCAGGGATAATATTGTTGTTTATCAAAGTCGATTCTGCTTTTTGTATATAAAATTGATAATACAGAGTACAGATTTCCCTACAATTGAAATTAAGTATGCAAATATTGGGGCAAACACCATGGCAGCGAGAACATTGTGAAATAAGTTACATATTTAGGCAAACATTGCATATGAAATGTAACAGAGATGATTAATGCCAGCATGGGGGCATTTATTTGCTCTTCATTTTATCTGCATGTCAATAGTACAACCACCCTGTAACACACTTTCGTAACAAACAAAAAACATCTCTGTAAACTCACAGTTCCCATAGCTGGACTTTCACGATCTTCATCCTGAAACAAATTGTTGCTGTGTTTTATTTTTTGCAGTCAAAAGATATTTTTAAAACTTTAATTTTGAAATTGTTTGAAGTGAAGTATACAGATAATGTCACAATTTCATTCTTCTATCATTATTCAAGTGGAAGCTTTGAGACTCTGCTGTGAGTTGGTACAGGGTGACCCAAAAACTGAACACAGGCCATTTGGTACATATTCTAGAGAAAACAACTTTTGCGTAAATAGTCCCAGAGTACTAAAACTTTTAAATAAAATTATACACAAACAGAACTTCTTTTGTGCAGAATGATCAAGAACTTCATGGATATTACCCAATATATATTTACGAAAATGTCATGAGAAGTTTGAATATAAGCATTTCCTCATACAGGGCATATAATCTGTCAATCATACATTACAAATACTTTCTCATTACCTCACTTTCAACATCAATATCCACATCATTCATTTCATCATACGATTTTGTGTATTGGTGATCCAGCTTGCTAGTTGGTATTGCCAAAAGATGGAAATAATAATCCTGTTACCACAGATCCATGAAATAAAATACTAAAATGCAGCTTATGATCGGATCAGAATATGATATTAAGTATCGATACTTTTGTGAAAGCAATCTAAATAAACAAGATATCAATAGCTTTTTATATGTATAAGTAAAAAACTTCAAGGTTACTTCAACACGCACTTGGCACAACAGAGATGCCATGGTCAAATTCATCCGCATAAAGTTTTTTATTACAGCTCCTCTCCGACCATGACATTGATCTTTTTAACGAAATTACAAAACTGGTGTTCAACGATACGAATTAGGAAAGAAACAAAATTCTCAAAAAGCAAGTAAGCATAACTTTTTGATGGAACAATTTAAATTGCTGTTGATGAAAAGTGATGGACAGCAGAGCATACTATGGCAGTATAGAGTATCCGTAATAAATAATATACACAATTCATATTATAATCAGGAAAATATAACAACTAAGTTTCCAAATTGAATAAAAAGAGGCTGACAGACCATTGAGAGATATTACAGTGAAAGTGACTCATTTTGGTATCTGATATCTTTTCACACAAATTTGTATACATGCAGATTTTTGAATTGGTTACCGGTAAGTCCTAGAACTGCAGTAACATAGCTGTAGCTGCTGTTTTTTCAGTAATATCAAAAAACGTAATTGTAATACACTAAATACATGAGATTCATTTGTTTCCACAAGAAGATCTGAAGATTGCATTACTGCATTAAGAACACATTACAGACTGACAGTGTCTTGCATCAAACAACAATATTTCAGCAGTTCAACGATAAATACTGAAATATATATACTGTTACAACAGTAATAAATACCGGTATAGGCTATATACAAGTATACAGTCTTCTGGTCTTGGACTAATACTGTAATAGAAGGCAGTGAACGTACGATCTCTTCTATCAGTCTATTGCTTACTTTCTATACACAGTTGGTTGTTTCGAAGAAAACATAGTCTAATTCAGAAGTACACCATACAAACTTTACTTGAAGTAGTTCGATAACCAACTACAAAACTATCTGAAATGTCATTGAGATCGGAAAAGATATACTGGTACCGGTACCCTATTCTCGCTTTTGAACCCCATGAAGTTACGGTATGACATTTGCAACTGTTTTTCTGACGACAGTTAGGGTAATTCACTCCGTAGATGTTCGTTTAAAAAAAAACTAGATTCAGTTTATTCAAACCACCTTGGTCTCTTTTCTCTCAAATTAATTATGTTTTTTTTACCTTTATTCAGATCTTCCCAATAATAAACAATAGGAATAGAATAATTTGAACTATTTATACATTCAAACTTGAGTCGAGTAGTTGGTTAAAATTAAAATACTGAAATAAGAACGCTAACAATCAGACAATGGTTTCACCTGTTCACCGACAGACCCAAGACGTTTGGAGGGGTTCTATTCTGTTGTAATACGGTAATTTACTAGAATATGAACCCCTCCAACACAACAGCTTGTCTATATAAGATATTTCCCATGTATTGCGAAATTTAAAATGACGATAAAACGGGAACCAACACCGAGACTAAAGGGAAGCCAAACAAAGCAAACGACTTATGAAAACTATTCGCTGAAGTCTCACGCCTAATACACGTGCCCTCCTATTTCATTTTCACAACAACCTCACTTCTCTCACTTCTGTGTAACGGGGCGGTCTGATTGGTTGCGAATCAGTTCACTTCCGCGCTGTGAAAGCAGGTAGGGACAATAAAGAAACAATGTTTGAAGCGCGCCTCGGTATAAACTCGGTGGTCAACGCCTCACTATGGGTTACCGCTGGTCACTCGGTGGGTCACGTGTCCGACTGAGTTGGCCGGAGGCCGTGAGCTTTCTTGCAATTAATTTGGTATAAAGTAAACCATGTCGATCATACCGCGAGCTGGACTAGTGGACTAGTCGGTTTGTAAAAATTATATGGGCGATATTTTTGCCAAATACGTTTTAGTTAAAGCTATACGTGTTATACCAGTGCATTTACTTCTATCGAAACTGGGATTGGTTCAAGCCGCAAGAATTGTCTTCCAACAACGCAACTCAACGCACGATTAAGTTAAATAAACAAGGTTTTAAGGTGCGTCAACGCAATAGTGTGAACATATGTGAACGGGCCCTCATGCGCTGAACCCACGTGTTTTGTTTGCTTTTAATGGTCAGTGTGTCGACGTGATTGTTTTGCAACTAATACTTCACTTTCGGGTTCGATTGATACCATTTATATGTGCCTGTGCAAATACGAACATTGCGTTCATATTCAAGAAATTGATATTTGCTAATAAAGTGAAAGATCGAAGATTTTTTATTTCTTTTCAAGTTTTTTTTCCTCGGTAATACACGCGATGTATACTTTTTTGCATATCTGTTAATCTTGCTAGCCATCCGTGTATGTATTTTATTCAACATATATTTATGCAAATACGGAATTGTATTGCAGTTTTTTTTTTATTCTCTTCGTAACGTGCAGTAAAGAAGACTTCATTTTTTGGCGCTACCATACATGAAACGCAGAACTTGGCATGAAATTTCCGCGCTGTCAGGATACGTGAATATATACAGAATATGTCCAAATCAAGATGAGACCAAACAGGCTAAATGTAGATGAATGCTTTATTACTTTCTTTCGACATTGAAGGGAGGGAAAGCAGAGACAGTTCAGTTCATCAAAATTATTATGTTTGGGGGTCGGGGTACTAAAAGAGTAAATACCAAAGCAATCAAATATATGAACCGTTTTGATAGGTTTAAAGATGGAGTAACGAGGAACCCCTGAAGAAATGAAGAGCGCTTATCTGTTAATCTGATGGGCATGATGGAATTTAAATGGCGAGTTCATGTTTTCCCGTTATGACGCAATAAAGTATCTAAACACATGTTTTGCGTTTCTACTCGTCATAATGTTACCCAAACAGCTGATTACGGATAGCATCTTACCTGGTAACGGCGACAGGCGAAGCAACTTGGTCGAGAGACAAATTATATTGCAAAATGGTACGGTGATTTTGATTATATTCTTATGTATTTCAAATAATCTTCTTAATTGTCTAAAGTTCTGTATGGATTCACCCTTTTTGCAATGAAATTCCAACTGTTTTCAAAGTTTACGGAAGTTGTCTGAATGATTTCAGGTGCAAATACTGTTTACTATTTATAATTTTGAGCTGAATTAAGTGGGTCTTACTATTTAGCAATATAGGTGAAATGATGCAGCTTATATAAAATGTGCATTATTATTAAACTATTATAATGTTCTTTTGCTAATGGAATCCGGTCATTTGCAAGACTCGACCAAGTCAAGTTCCAAAAACAATTTCAGACTAGAATTATTATCAATTATTTGGGTGCACAATTTAATGTATTGAGTTTTCATCCTATTTGGTTATATATTTCTATCAATGAGGTTCAAAAGCGTAACTTTCTTTAGTGACGTAATGTCTTTATACTATTTTTGAGGTCGGAGGAGTGTCTATGAATACTGCTAGTATTGAACACCACTTGAGAGAAATAGGATTCAAGTTCAACGATTGGTATTCTTTTCTGGATCTTGATAATTTTGATTCGGACCATCTTGTCGAAAATCTAACTACTGAAGTAAGATTGCTGTTCGTTTTCTCAAAAATCCTTCTGTATATTGTATTGTTTTATAGCTTTTTGTTTAAAACTTATAAATCTGAAATGAGAAAAGTGACTTCGCACATCTGTAAGAATGCTGTAACATCATCTGTGAGGTGAACGCTAGTGCCGTTTAGTCGAATTATGGCATCTACGAGTAAAATCCTACCGCTGAACATGGTTGTTGCACGAACACGAATAAGCTCAGCCTTGTACTACGATAAATAAGGTTGTCTAGCGTCACTTGCGTTGAGGATATTTACTACGTTTTTTTTAAAGTGTCTTCCCAATACTTCCAGGGAAATGACGATCGACCATTTCTTTGGAGTAATGGTGAATTTATTGAAAAGTGCAACAACGGTGAAATTTGCATCATAGGTAGGTTTGCTGTATTTTTATTTTCCAGCAGATGCGGTTAATAATTCCATTAGATGCGAGGATCTTTAAAATGATAAGCAGAAATGTGGGAAACACAAATAAATGAACAGTCTGCCCAGATTTAACTAAAATAGAGAAATAGCGGCTCCTGATGTACTATAGCCCTTTGTCTGGATATACAATAATCCTCACGAAAAAGAGGCAACACCTACCTTGGCTTAAGCTATATACCTGTTGAATGAATAGTTCTGATGGAAATAAGTAAAAAATACGCAAAATAAAATTAATTATCAATGTTCTTTAGCATTGAGACAAGCTGAATCATTGTTTAACTTGAGTCAGTTGATGTTTGCTCTTTATCACGGATCGCTACAAGCTTGTACCTTCTTGGATTTGCAGAAAAGCAGACCTCCTCGCGATATTCGACAGCGTGGATTCATTAAACTTGGTAACTCATCCATTTCAGCAATAATATTGGCCTAGCCCTATACTATGTTGTTTTCTGATCGTGCAATTTGTTATTTATCTTGGAAATTTTTTTCTATGTCTGATAGGTTGATAATTGTTACGTCTAACTGTCAATCGATGATAGTTCTTGTTCATTTATCTTATATAGATAATTGACGCTCTCGAAGTATGTGCACCAAGATGGCGCACAATCTGAACGCTTTCAGGTTGCGCGCCATCTTGGTGCACATACTTATGGATATGGAGGTCCAGATAATTTGCGTAGTTATTAAAAGCTTCTTTTTTTAATAAACATGGTGATCTGTTTGAAATCATGAAAAAGATTTTACAGTTCAAAATCGTTTTTTTAATTGCTCGAATAACAAGTAATAAATCTTTTCAGAAAATTGCAATACAAAATCTGGAACAACTTTTCGCCGTGTATTGCATGGGCTATGTTGGGAAATTGTAGAGCAAGGTGGCCTTCCTGTTATATTTTCTATGATCCAGGTTGGTATATGGTCTTTTTAAAAAGAATTACGATGTCTTCAGGATTCATAATTGTCCGTCATTTGATTTACTATGCTATTATTACACGAATACTGCACGAATATTGAAAGAAATTAATGATTGGGGTATTTTTTAGAATCCTGTTCTTCCGATCATCCAGCAGAAATGTCTTGATGCGTTGACGAATATTCTATGTGTTGATCATATTGAGTGGGTATGGCTCTTGCTATTTGTAGTAGAACTAATATTGAGCCCACCGGCCACAACCCGGCCCGCTAAGCCATTTGATGTGAGTGACCCTTGTCAACATTCAGATTTTCCCCCGTCAAGCATAAAATCCTGATCTGACAGATAATGTTTGAAAAGGCGCACACATGGGTAAAAATACATAATGTTTTTTTCTCTTCTCTTTTGCCGTTTTCCCGGGCCTTTATTACTGTGAGTCTAATCTATAGTCGCATTCTGTTCGCTTGTCAGCTGACTGATGAACATTTGACTAGTCAGTTAGGGGTTGCTACAACTTCTGTCAAAGCTTGTGTCAACAAACAATTTGAGAATTCGAAATTCCAAATGTCCCACTAAAATTTAGCATTGTAAGAAATTTTCAATTCGTTGTGTATATGAAAAAGCACAAATTATTTGTGTGAACCAGCTAGATGTCTGGATGAGCGTAAATGACCCGACGACAAAAATGTTGCACTCCCTGGTGTAAAGCATTGGGCACGGAATACCAAACCCGAGCTTTGTGTGTAGAAGTGGGTGCTTGTTCGCAGTGAAGGGCGCATAAAACGTTGAGAAGTTGTTATACCAGTCAGTCAGTCAGTAGTTTATTTTATCACAAACCGAATGTGAACATTGACGAACAAAATTGAGAAAAATGAAAAATTTCATTTTAGTGTGAAAGGAGACGCGATAAACCAGAGATGATTATCCTTAATAGCATATTGGAAATTTTTATTTACTGAAAGTATATTGTTATATTTAGCTTGTTCTGAGTCGACAATCTTGGTTCTTGGACAAGTTAGTGAAGATGGTTAATGAAGGTGATCTACAGTGTGATATGGTTCCGGCTATCAGTGTTATTGACAGACTCGTGGTTGTCATATTAGCAGAGAAGTAAATTGGCCCTTTTTTTGCAAATGTTTTCATACCTCTAATTTATTCAATTCGCCCGAAAGAGCAACAAAAAGAGCAACAATGTGTTATTATAAATAAACAAGAGAGCTCAAATATATGGACACGCAGAACAAAGCGAGGCAGTAGTCTACTTTACCTTTTTACAGTACCGTTATCGTCAAATAACTTCCGACTTTCGCTTAGCACGAAAGAGGTCGAAGAACTGGTACAAATAATTTTTATTAATTTGCAAGAGTTCATCACACAAAATTTCGAAGTGAAAAACAAATCACATAAAGCCCGCAGAAAGTTTTGAAATAAATAAAAGAAATAGCAAAAATACAATATTTAATAACCTCTGAAGATTTCAAAGCAATTAATTCAATAGTTAATGAAAAAGGCTAAGATCTCGGGTTTGGACACTATGCACGGCGCCTTACACAGAATGTAATGAATTGGGCAAGAAGTATTGAATCGTAAAGATTAAGTTCCTTCCCAAATTGCAGCTCCTTATAAATCAGTTAACCACTTGTTCTGAGCTGTGTTCAGGGTGACGCCACATAGAGAAAAAAAATAAAACCGATTTGCTCCTCTTCTTAACTGTTCACTACCGCCACTTTCAATATATATTATATTTAAATGAAGAGGCAAGAGCTTCGCTAACCTCTGCGTAGTTTTACTCCGACAAATTTGAATTCACCTTTGCCATTTTCAAATGTAATTTTCCGCATTGTGATTTCAGCATGAACGCTGCATACAAACAACTCATGGATTCTAACTTTATATCAATCTGTATCGATCAACTGCAAAGTCCGAAAGGAAAAAATGAAATGTCGAAATTGCACTTCATCAAGTTCCAAACAATCGCGATGCAGGTGGGACGTGGCACTTGCGTGGCAATATATAAAAATCAATAAAATTGTTAACATGGCCTCGAAACAAGGGATGTTCAAATCCGCAAACACAGCTCTAATTGATTGAGTCATGTGAAAAAGACGTCTTTTTGGCTTTCCTCTTTTCTGGCATTGGACGTGAAATCTTATTCCATTAAAAATGAGTATATTTTATTTTTATCTCGTTGGCTCGTGATTAATTTGATTATTTTTCAAAAATGCACAGGCGCTCGCTTTGCTCTGTCAAGATGATCGAAGTGCAAAATGGGAGAAAGTTCTTCAGGAAAGGGTATTTTCCCACGCATACCAGTGTGCTTTGGTTTGGAATACAGAACAGCCACCTAGTGATCCAACGTGGGATAAATCTGAGAGTTTTTATAGGAATATGAGTTTTAGTTCAAGTGCATTGCTGTTCAGTCTGATTATTCTCATACATGCCGTCCTAAAATGGTGAGTTCATACATTAAAATTCGGATTATCGTTTGTTTTAAAAATTACATACCGTTTTGGTGCTGATAATTTAAAGATATAGAGGCATTAAACAATATCCCGTGATTTTACATCATCGGACTGAGCCGAACCCTTATTTAGCGGCGTGCGAACGTTATGTAGTTAACATGATGCAATGAAATAGATTCTTTGAATTTTAAAATTGTCTTATAGTTCATAAATACTGTTTGTATTACATTAGGCCTGGAAAAAGAAAACATCTGCAAAAGAAAGGTCTGATGTTTCAATATCAATTATCCAAGATGATGACACTTTCTCTCAGCGAAACAAGGCAAGATCTTAATACGTATTGAGGCACAAGCGATGTAAGCGAAACAACGTGATTTGCCTTTTAGATCGTTTTGCTAACATCGATTTTGCTTCAGTATGAATACCCTAATACATGGATGTGCAACCTTTAATACTGAAGGGCCAGATGCAAATAACTGGATAAAACCGCGGGCCGCACTTCACTTAACATAGGCTTCCCAGTAGTTAGAAACACAAAAATTTGGTTATTGATCTTGTGACATGCGTTGTTGATATGGGCTTTGGAACGCAAAGAAATTGAAATTGCTCGCACGTACTAAATTAAAATCTCGTTTCGTGGGCTGCACACCAATCAAACTTGGCACTTAACTGCGCGCAAGTTTGCACATTGCTTCCCTAATACATATTTTGTTACCGATTGATAATGACAAAGCTAATATATCCATGTTGTCTGATAAAGTATTCAACCTCCACTAACTTGAAAATCAGCTCCGAAGTAAATAGCATAATTGAAAGTCGTGGAAATAGTGGCAAACTGAAAATAAATTCTAGTTGTTTTAGCATGCACACGCTTATGCGATTTTTTTATGATGACCATAAAAACCTGGTGTCATATACTTGGCGAGTACATTCGCTATAATCCTTGTTTAATTAATTAACTTCGTTGCTTAAAATTTCATTATTGTTTTAGCAACTCCAAAGACTCGAATGTGCCTATTATAAAGAACGCCGTTGAATGGCTACTGAAATCACTGACCGGGGTCAATGGTAGGTTCATATATTTCAGTTCTTGTAATATTTTATTCGTGTATATACTGGGGATGTACCGATATCTGTTATTGGCAATATCGGTTATTTTTTCGATATCGGCTATATGAATACCGATATTTTCAACATTTTGATCCGAACCAGAATGTTTTAAAAGATAGGTTGGTATACCGTCGTTGAAATAAGTTTTTGCATGGTTGGATCAATATCATGTTCGCAGTATCCGTCTCGTCAACTCTGAGCCATGCGCGCGCCCACCGTCAGGAGTAGAGACGGGAAGAGGATTTTTAACTGTTTTCAGATATTCATCAGCAAACGCTATCTCAACTAATTTGCTCTACCAGAATTTTATACTAACATTTTGATAAATAAAAGGTAATTATGACGAAACATACCATATAAGTGGACTTTCCAATGTGTAAAATACAAAATATTATATATACTAGCACAAAATCCTGCGTACGCAACTCAATGTATTAGTTTAAAGGATAAGTTTATATTTATTCATTTTACTAACTACAGTAGCCAAATCGCTATTAGTTTTCTAATCGAACACCGGTTCCTAGTGCCTATGCACATGGGAACGTCTGCAAAAATTAGCACAATTTGTTTTGTGTTGTTAAAAAAGTTGAGACCCATCTTTGCATAAGTACAAATTTAAAAACCAATTGATGATTATTACAATTAAACCCTCAGTAGTGAGTCTCGTGACAACTGAGTTATTCCGTCTGTACCGTACACTTGGAATAATAACTACATATCTCTAGTTACCGAGTTAATACTTGGCTCTCCAATTTTACACTCTCGTACAGATAAAGATGAGAATTGCAGCAGAGTTGAAACTTCACTCAGCACCGCAGGATTGTTCTCATCTATTCTTAATCCAATATCTGAGTTATGCGAGAAAGTATTCAGAGAATGTTCATATAAAGAGTGTGGAAAGCGGGAATCTCAAGTAAGGCCTATGCCTGTTTGTCAAGTTCATTTATAAGCAAAACATCCTTATAATTGGCAGAGAAAAAATACAAACACGCAATAAAATGTACTGGTGGGGAATCATAGCATCCAAACAACTATTAAAATTCAGTGGCAATTAGCGCAGAGATTCATCTATCAAGTGTACTGCTTACCACGGTTTACCAATCTTGAACCAGGAGATCAAAATAAACAAAAACGAATAGAAATTGAGATAGAATTAAGGGTACCTTCTTTTTTTCAAGTGCCAAAAATACAATATATCTTTGTAGACAGGTCAGTGGAACACCTGTCCTCACTGCAATGTCGTTTGCTACTGTTCCAGTATTTGTGTAGAAGCGGACAGGAAAATGAACCACACAACAACAAAATGCTCTTATTTATCAATGAAGCAAGTTGACTGATGAGGAGTCCCCCAGACGACCAAAGCCGTCGTGTTTCAGATGAGCTGCACTTACTTTAAAATATATCCAAGTACTACACCATTTTGCGTGAAACTTATTTCACTGTGCCTTTATAAATATATATATATATATTTATATATATTATATATATAAAGTTTATATCATCTATAAGCGAAACTATATTTTATCAACGTATTATCTTCAATTTATTTTGCTGTTGACATGTAAAATCAGTATTATAACGATGAAAATAAAAACATAAAAATGCTCATATGGGCTATTTTTACAATGAGTCTTAATACTCCAGAATTGCATTTTTCGAAGCCTTATCTGTAGCCTATGCCTCTCATAAAACAAATCCCACTTGAGCTGTTGACATAACATGCATTGTTTTTCTCATGTTGATGGGCATTTTTGCTTATGTTGCATCTGCTTGCTTCATTGAGTTGGACACTCAGACAATGTAGTCTCAATGACTGGTGCCTTCCCCATCTCTTCTTCTTGAATGGATTGATCGTTTCATAACTGCATCATCTTTTAAGTGCGACATTTGGATTATGTTGGTACAGCCCGGATATGGACATCTAGAATGATAGGAATAGAATATTTGGCTCATTGAAACATCTCAAACACTATATATTTTTAATTTAGAATCAATTTTATCCAGCTGATTAAAGAGGTGGTTCATATCAATATCCAATATATAAAACAATTCAATAGGCATTTTTTGTTTCTGACATGGCAAAATTCTATTGTATTCAAAGCGGCACATGTGAATATACGGTTGTAGTAGAAAAACATAATTTAAGTCTTACTTAGCCTTTTTTCGTCTTTTCTGACATTGCTTGACATGAGCGATAATTGCATTTTTTTCAAATCTGTGACCACAAACTGTATCTTTGTAAGGCTCCGTCATCTCGACCTGTGGATATATCGATAAATATAATACAATTGAACCCAAAAGCTCTGCAGCAAAGTTTGGATATAACACATAAAATAGCACGTAATTGTGAAAGAGGGATTATATTAATATGTTCAACAGATATTCCGTTTATGAAACATAACTAGAATTCTACATAAAATTACGGTAAAATCACAGACTCGCTGCTACTTCGATAAACAAAAATTACTGGTAAAATATTACATTCCCCCACCTGAGTAATAGGACACTTTGTTCCTGACTGTGTTTCTGTAGCTTGTATATCTCCTGAAGTGTTGTGAGCAGAAGTACCAGGTTCTGAAGCATTTGGACCTTGTTGAAGAGGAACATCTGAAAGAAATTTCATACCATTTCGGAAATAAGCTGATAAAATGGTATCTTTTTTTTATTTCACACCTTTGCTCTGTTGAGAGTCTATACAAAAGTTCACATAAACATGGGGTGCCATTTGTTTAGAAAAAAGAAAATCAACCCAATTCCTTATATACTAACCAATCTGGAAAAAAGTGTTTTTTGGGTTGTGATTTTTCTGAAGTGACCTAATAAATTGACCAACTACAGTCGAATCTCTAATCTGGTATGCCAACACACAAACCACTGAACGAATAATAAATCTTGTGTAGTGACAGTGGCACGAATGAATTGTTAGAGATGTCAGTTGCTTAGTATTGCTGTTCACATTACCAATTCTATTAAACGTTATGAAAAATTTACAATGATATGTAAATTGTATATACTGGATTTTTTTAATGTAATGAAGCAAGAAATACTGTCACGAAATCACTGGCAACCAAAAACAATACTTTCCAGACTTCACATTTCATGATTTTTACTCATCGAGATATATACTACAGTGAATCAAATATCTTTACATCAGATCTCTTAAATGTTTTGAACATACTTTCATCAACAGCTTTAATTTGTTCAGTGAAGTTTTTCATCAGTTCATGTTCCCAAATATTTGCAACATCATCATGTTTCAATTCTTCCTCTTTCAAACTGTCTTCCAAAACCTGAAAATAAGGTATTTCCATGACGGTTAGCTCATCAAAGGGCAAAACTTCAAAACTTATAAGTGTTAAATTCAGTCCAAGCAAATAAAGACTAATAACATACAAAAAATTAGATGTATAAAATGGGAAAGTATGTACTAGAACCCGATAACAATTGAATGTAGGCAATGGATAATTAATCAGTATTTTGATAAAGCCCATTAGAAGTTTGATGCAAAATACTCCATGCACAAACAACGGCGATCCAGTATGTGTGCCAATATGGAGGTAACTAATTTTGTTGGCTACTTTACATCAAGTTGTGTAAAGGGATTGAAGCCTGTGAGAAGGGGGTATATTCACTTGGCCAAGTGAATCAGTCCCCAAACTCGTAATAGAACTACAATAAAGAAAATTGAAATAAAATTATGGTCTAACCCTAACCTGGTACACATACAACGCGAGTACCCAAACAACTATGAAACTTGAAATATGCTTGTCTGAAGAAGTCTGACCTCGGTAAGACGAAATATTACAGACATATATTTGTGTTGGTTTGCACCAAGACTCTTGAATCAAATTGAACGGTCATCCTCATTTTTGCTACAGAAACCTTGCATTACACCCATACGAAACCACACTAGCACAACAGCATATAGCAAAGAAAGGCTCGCGTATTATCAACTGATATTTAAAATATCCTAACCTAACAAGATACTTAGATAATAAAAACAAGCATCTTACTTGAGTGGGAAAAATGTTGAATAATGGCCTAGATAGTCACTATTTTTTACTGGTATATTTCATAAAAGTAATTCAATATTGTGGAAAAAATTAGGTATCTTAAAATCGACAAGATGAAATCAAATCTCAGAGTATTATTTCCTTAATAAATTCGGTACAACAAATATGGATTCATTTTAAATATATGGAAAATTTCAATTTCAACAATTTCAATTTATATTAACAAAACTATCATTATTCAAAGCTAATTGCATTCAATTTCAATCTAATTGATTGAATTTTCATTATTACATTTTAAAAGCACGATTTAATTTAAATCAAATGTCATGAAAGTCCCTTCCCCCTGCCAATTAACTGTCAGTAAGATATAAATAAAAGTCTGAATATGATCAATATCTGACTAGTACCAGTCACACAATGAGGTTGAATGAGATTTTGAGACTTAACTGGATTATTGTGAAATACATTTGTGACTCCCTGGGGAAGGGAAGTTCAAGAAATTTAGTTGGAAAAAAAATTCAGGATCTTTTGTACAAAGCCCTCGCCAAAATAACTGGCACAGCTCAAAATAAAAAATTAGTAATTATTCTATTACAATTTTTAATCATTGATTAAATTCAGCGATGTTAGGATTAACGAACACACAATTACTTAAAAAGTGGTGAGCACAATCCGCAGTATTTTTTCTCAAACCTTACAAACCTGAACAATATCCACTGAATCATCAAGTTCTCCCTGCTGCCATTTTGTTTTTAGTTGATTGATAGATGATGAAAATGCATTCACTCTTTGTTCAGCTTTTAACAATTCAACCAATGAATCTTGAAGATCTGTGATACCCGGATTTTCAACTGTAAATATGAAATAACTATATGAATTTTATTGAAATTCCAAGCAAATTACCTTGACATCTGGAATACAAAGATGGAATGGGTTTAAATATACTCAATGGTATTATTTAATGTAACTGCGTAACCAACAGAACGAAACAATCTTAATATTAAATTTCCTGCATAATCAATTCACGAACCTTTTAAAAAAGTAGTACCAGTAATTTAAGCAGATTTCATGAGCCAAAAATGAATATTTATTTTATATCAGTAGTTAACATTGTTAGTGACTTATTAATAGCCAAATCTCTACAGATTCCATATTCTGATATTAATCAAGATGTTTTTTCTCTAAACATATACTCCCTTTTTATTTTTAGTGCTCTGCACTGATTACAGTATTAACTGTGTTGGTATATTCTGTGCCTATATATAGTGTTTCATGGGTACTCCCGTAGTATGTGAACCAAGATGGCGGACATACACACTAGTGAATTATTTGATTTTAACCATCCCTGAATAAATTCCATGGGGCGGGACCTCGGCGGGCGAGAGAGAGCTGCGTCGCGGGCTCGTGGCAGAGGCAGACTTGTCAATATTTCGAAGAAAAGTTAAAGAATTTGAACAATCGGTATAGACTTTCAACAACAATTTGATGATAACATAATGAATCCTTAGGTTATTTAGTAAGAATACTTGTTTCATTCAAATTTCAATGCTGATATATTGAAAATGAATATTTTCACATATTATGAAACTTTGAAAGTTCATATGTTAGGAGTAAAACACTAAAAAATTGTTTATATCAAAGATAAACTAAAAAATTTACCCTGATTTTCGAGTAAATCTAGTCCAGCACTTGTAAGTTCTTGAGATCCAGTCCGAATATAATACAACATTTTACTAATGTTGCTTAAAGTATTATCCAGCAAACGAATATTAGCAGGGTTGCTCATGATAACTATTTTGAAACAACTTACTTATTAACAAACTGTAAAAAATGTCTAAATATAACACTTTGCTCTTAAACTAATTTGAACCCTGTTTTTTTAAAAATATGACATTATTTGTAGCATTAACAATTCTCTGCTGATTGACAATATTATGGCCCTGTACTATTATCTAAATGACTGCCATGATAATATATGAAAATATAGATATAAGAGCAGTATTAAAATGCATCATCCGCAGCCTGACAGCAGATAAAAAATTATGTTCAATAACCAACCAATTCAGCAAAGCGCAGTCACGAATGTTGTATAAAATGATGGGTCTGAAATAGTTTAGTACCACATGTACTTCTAGTTAGTCTAACTCAACAATTTTTGCATATGTCATTCCTAACACCCACCTGACTACGTCACCAAAAAATTACATCACTTCGACGTCCCAGTAGCCCTCAAAAGTGTACGGATGGTGTCCAAAAAGCACAGGCTTGAAATCGAACAAGCCAATTCTCGCATTTCCTCGTCGCAACGTTCCCGATATGAGAGAGATCACTGGTGATAGTGGGTTCGTTATCGGCAACGGAAATGTGGTTTCTGGTAATCGTAGCTATACTTTGGCAAGCTCTGTGGCGTGATTGTGACGTCAAAGTTATGTAATTTTTGGATGACATATTCATGTGGGGGTTAGGAATAATATATGCAAAATTTGTTATGCCATGCCCACCGGAAGTAGGCTACTTGTGGTACTATACCATACTAGATCCAAAATGATTACATTTTAGTTCAAAATTTTATTCTAGGCATTCACACTGAGAAGCTTCGTTCAAAACCGGGTTTTGTAGCAAAGGTATAATTAGGTTGGTGAGGAAAAAATGTGACAATCATGATTAATTATGCTGTATTTCACATGTCATTTCCAGATTTCACCTCTTCACAAACTGGTTTTAAACAACTAGTGCCAGTATCAGGGTTAGGAACTTACCATACGACAATAACTAAAATAATGCAAACATACCGTAATTACAGAATTATATCATTTTGACCTGTAACATACAGTATATAACAATTGGGTCATGGGTTGTATAAACTTTAATACTGTAATAACTCGGTAGCGAAATGCAAAAGTGTAGGCAAGTACTCAAAGAAAACAACAGCTCAATAAAAACAAAATGATGCAGCTAGGCCCTATATCCTGATATCAGTAGTTTATATTCAGATATTGACATCTATCAGGTCTTGGAATACCGTTATTACATGTATTACAGTATTAGTATTATCAATCAATCAATCATTTTATTTTGGCACTCTGACGTAGAACAGAACAACACAAAAAGTAAAACAGACAACAGATACAGAGATACCTCATACTTGGAAGGCGAGCATAACTTGAAATAAAGTCAGAAAATGTACAAGTATGCGCTCACCCAACAAAAAAATAAAATAAGAATAATACGTGCATCAAAAAAGATGGACACGATTCAGAATCTGGCAATGCTTATAACTCAATTTAAAATGATAAAATCAAATAATTGCTGGGATTCGTGGGCAACTTACATATGTACATGGAGTAAAAAAGTGTTGCACATGAAATAAAACAGCAAAATTCTGGTAGATAAAATTAAATGTAATAGAATCTTAACGACCTCCTTCGTCTCTGATTGATGAAAACCTAATGATTCAAATGTTCGTATACGATTATGGTAGCTGAGAAATTGCCAGAATTAGCCCTGCAATAAATATATATAAAGCTGCTTTTAAATGCTGTAAATTCTGGGTTTTGGATTCCTATATCAGTATATAGCATAAATATAAACAAGTAAAAACGTATGGGACACATTCTGACATTGCTTGTTGTCAGAAATGCCAAAAATAAATAGCCTAATAATTTATCAAATGTCAGAATGTACAAAACAGATGAAGAAATGCATGGTTGAAAAGCAGATATCAGTTACCAGGTTGGATATGTACCGGTGGATTGCGATAAAGTCAATTACTTTCGTATGGCCCTCTTCCAATTATCCTATATTTGCCAAATTGTATTCCAGATCCAATCTCTGAATCTGGGATTTTTCAATCATAATTTTTTTTTAATATTTAGATAAACTATCGATAGTAAAAGGAAATTTGGTCTCAATAATATATTTTAGGAAACATCCTGCATATTTTGTATTACAGTTAATTGCAGTTTAAGTTGAAAACTGAACAGTACTACCGAACATAACTGCATTAACTGCTCCAAACTTCTCCACTAAACTGGCGTACCCAGAGAACGAAAAATGACAGTATACAGAAGGTGGAGACGGAGAGCAAGGGAAAAAGTAAAAATCCGTCAATGCATGGCTGGTTTGACAACAAATGAGCTGGAACGATACTAACCAGGAGCAACGTTTGTAAACAACGCATCGAATCAAGCAAGAATAAGTGGAAAAGTGTATTTTACCTTCACATTTACCAGAATAACGGTGCATCCAGTTCCTATTTTTTGGGATGAACTAATTGCTGTGAAGGAAAGAGAAGCAAACGTACGCTACTTTGATTTAGGTTAAAAAGATGCAAGAAGAAGATACACGTGTTTGCCCACCGCGACAATTTGAATGATCGTTTTTTGAATTAAAATCCTCTCCGAGCAAGGTCTTAGCGGAGCATTTATTCCTAAATTAAATAAACCAGAAAATGAACAAATTTAGTTTATTATATACAGTACCGGTATATAATTTATTCCATGCCTGTATGCTGAAACATCAAAAGTAATACAGAATTCACTGATTCAAAACAAATTCAATAGCACAGTCGATGAGTTAGCCATTGGACCCAAATGAAACATATTCAAGGACATGCTAGTTCTTGACGTTAATACTTTGTTGTTACGTGTTTACAAAATTCAAACTCATTTTGTGACTACCTCCCAACCCTGCAACATGTCTTCAATTTCAAAAACTAACTTCATTTTTCTAATATGCCAAGTAATGAATTGAGTAACAAGTTTCTCAACAGATAAAACAACAGAACAATGTAATAGTATTCCATATGATTCAAATTCTACCTTCCATTGTTTAATTTGAATACAAAACTGGCCGAAATTTTTTTCTAGCCTAGAGATAAGTCCCTATTGGTTTAGAATATGTCATGAACCTGTGACCTGTATGCGCTTGATCGAGCGTTAAAGATAAGATGTCATTTTCATCTTCATTCTGAGTAAAAAGACGTCTCAGATCCGGTTTACTGTAGACAATGTCATGTGTGGGAGGTTTTCGTTTCAAATGAATGGACTCAAGGTTGAGGAAACTGTTACTTATCAGAGCTTACGGAAACTGCTAATGACAGCAAGCAGTTGTCCAATATTCTCGTTTGTTATTCTTCTCCGTATTGAAAAATTGGGATTTTGTCCATAATAAGAGTGAATGTGAGGGTTTTAGCAATTCTCTTGCACATATTTCTTTTTCGAAGGGTTGGCTGAAGGAGAGTAATCATTGATGTGATAGTACGAGCATTTCATAGCCAACTTCTACGAAACTAGAAAATATTTGAGTGCTAGATTGACTTTAAACTTTTCTGCTATTATATACTTTGATATATGGTATAGTTTTCAGTGAAATGTTTTAGTCAAGTAAATATAAGTATCTGGCAATATTAGGCTTTTTTATACTGATGATAGAATGTAAAAAAGAAAAGCATACTGGTAGCCTATATATTTATTAGATTTTAAAAATGTTGGATGTGGAGAATATCTCAATTATTTTCCACATTTTTATTTCCTCATATTTTATTTAAGGAGTAAATGTACAATCTGTCTATAATACAAAATGGTGAAACAGACAATCAAGATCTTCTGCAGGGTAAAGCCAACTCGTTCACGAACAGGAATATTTTCTATCGATGATGATGAGACTCTTCCTAAATCATCAATTGAATTTGTCATTCCGCGAGATCAGTTGGAAGGATTTGTCAACAATAAAAGAGAAAATTATAAATTTGCATTCGAAAAAATATTTGATCAACAGGCAAAACAAGATGATGTATTTGAACATGTAGCAAAGGACGTTGCTGATAATGTACTGGCTGGGTATAATGGAACAATATTTGCTTATGGGCAGACAGGAAGTGGAAAGACTTTTACAATAACGGGGGGCGCTGAAAAATTTGCAGATAGAGGAATCATTCCCCGATCTTTATCTTATCTTTTTGAAAAATTTGAACAAGATAAGAACCATATTTATTCAACGGAAGTATCTTATCTAGAAATTTATAATGAAAATGGTTATGATTTACTTGACCCCCGACATGAAGCTGCAAAATTAGAAGATTTGCCTAAAGTGGCTTTAATGGAAGATCCTGATCAAAATATTCACCTCAAAAACTTATCAATGTTGCCAGCTCAAAATATTGAAGACGCTTTGAATTTATTATTTTTAGGTGACACAAATAGAATGATTGCTGAAACTCCTATGAATCAAGCATCAACGCGATCTCATTGTATTTTCACTATTCATATAACAAGTAGAGAACCGGGCTCAGCTACAATTCGAAGATCGAAACTGCATCTCGTTGATTTAGCAGGATCTGAACGAGTTGCTAAAACGAACGTTGGAGGCCAACTTCTCACTGAAGTTAAATATATCAATCTTTCACTTCATTTTTTAGAGCAAGTTATCATTTCATTATCGGAAAAAAATCGGCAGCACATTCCATATCGCAATTCAATGATGACTTCCGTCCTTCGTGATAGCCTCGGTGGAAATTGCATGACGACTATGATTGCGACTGTTTCTGTGGATAAAAAGAACGTAGATGAATCAATATCAACATGTCGATTCGCACAACGTGTTGCGTTAATCAAAAACGAAGCAACATTGAATGAAGAACTAGATCCCAAGCTTATGATACTGAGATTGAAAAAAGAAATTCAGTCGTTGAAAGATGAGTTGGCTTTAACAACAGGAGAACAACGAAGTGACCAACTTACAACTGAAGAAATTCAGTATTTAGATGAATTAATTGCTTCATATTTAAACGATACTGATTTAGAAGCAACACTCGATGTCGGTGGTGATATGAGAAAGATTCAATATTCATATGGAAGGTTGAAAAAGTATGCGAACAGAAAAGGAGTTTCCGCCATCGAGGAAAATGGTGACGAGAATGTTCGACCGGATACGCAGAGTCAACATCAATCTAATAATGATGAACAAGAACTCAGTCCATTAGAAATCAAAAGATTGAAAGAAATATTACAACAAAGAGATACTGAAATAAATATTTTAGTCAATATGTTAAAAAAAGAAAGAAAAAAAGTTCTTGATGCACAAGCACAAAATATTCCAAGATCTAATACTAATTCCGAATTACAAACCTCATCTGGATACAACAGTTCAACTTATGAATCTGATCAAAAAGACAGCGAAAAAGAATTAATAAATTCAAAATCACATGTCAAAGAACCTAATATGTCTGCAGGTCGCCAAGAAGCATTTGAAATTTTTAAACAAAATTATTCACAAAACGATGCCATTATGGATCAAAAAGAACGGTTAAAACAGAGATATGGAGAAGCAAAAATACTTGGAATGGAAGTGAATAACGCTAGAAATGCAATTAATCATCTCAAAGCGGATCTGGAACAAAGAAAGAAAAAGAGAGCTATTCAAATGACCATGAGTAGTAATATCGACGATAAAGACGATTCGTTTGAGGAAAATGAGAGAGAAGCACTTGTTAGACAACAAATTGAAGAAGCGAAACTAAAATACAAAAACTCATTTATGAAACTTAAAGCAATGAAAGCAGAAATTGATCATTTACATCATTTGTTAGATAGAACTAGAGTTCAAATTCAAAGAGATTTCGATGTTTGGTGGGACCAACAAACGAAACGGCCACCTAGTGGACGATCAAGGCCATCTAGTTCAAGTCATCATCGACTGAACAGAATTGAACAACCACAAAATCCTATCAAAACCACAGAAGCTTGGAGAACTCCGCCTGAATCCCCTCAAAGATTTGAACAAAATTTCAATAATCGTTCTCTATCTAACACATCACTCTCTCCTTTACAAAGAGTGTCGCCTATTGGTGACGTTGGTTTGCCTGGATATGCAAAACCGTCTCCACCAATCGGTTTCAACTTGCCTATGCCAGATTCAGTGAGCAGACAATCTACAAATCAAAGTTTAAATAACTCAAGTTTGAGTTTAAAAAGTCAGAGATCTGGTTTTAATATGACACAAAGACATTTGAAGGAGTCACAAATACCGACAACTGGTGATAGTAATACAGATGCTAACATTTTGGCTTTCATTAAAGCCAGAGAAAGTTTAATGCAGAAGAAAAATGGACAATATAGTTGATGTTTCATATGATAAAAATTTCACATGCTCAATTGCTCTATTAATGGACCATAAGGCACTTGTCGAACCCCTTTTTTCAAAAAATTGATTGTGCGCCTTATAAGCATTATGCTTCATTAACTACACCTAAAATCAGTATTGGTACTATTGATTTATAAACCAACCACCACTTTATGTTTTCTTCAAATTAAATACGATAATCCTAAAGAGTTTTTTTGTTCAATGAATTTTGTTCCGTAATCCGATACTTCTTGAAAACGGTTGCGTCTTCTAGCCAGATGTGCTATTTGTATGGAAAAAATCCCAATCTAAGCAATTTTTTGATGTTGCACCTTATGGTTCGTAAAATATGGTAATTTTAATATGAATATGGCAAATTTAAACAACCCTGTGTTTATGATACCTGTTCACTGTAAAATATGTTTTCTTCTTCAAGATTTTGTTGGGGTAAAGTTGTCTCATGTGCGAGCATGATCATACTTGCTGGTGTGTTACGCACCACAATCAATTTTGGATTTTCAGTAGCTTTTGTAGTTTCAGACTAACTTTGCTCATTGATTATTCTCCTTCATTATTGAGTGATTAGCATAAATTCTACATAATTCAAAATCTACAGTAGATGTTCAAAAGAAACGAACCTAATTGAATATGAAATTTAGGGAAATAAAATGAATATCTGTCAAACAAAACTAATTTTTATGTACAACTGAATCTTCATAAATCATAGTTTTGTGAATTTAAAATAAAATATCTAAAAAAATTTCAAGATGAAATTTGGAATATTGAATTGTGGAATATTGTGTATTGAACTGCAGGTCCTTTTCCTTTGTTTACTTTCTATTCCGGATCCGTATGTGGCTGTGACCACATGGATGCGTGACAGAGATAGTATTATAAAGATAAATAGGAATAACATAATCTCTTTCCACGAAATATCAAGTATATTTATGAGCTTTCGTTAGATCATAGTCTAACTTCTTCAGATAAACAAGATATGGCTTGATTAAACAGCGAATATGATCTAACGAAAGCTCATAAATATACTTGATATTTTGTGGAAAGAGATTATGTTATTTTTACATATTGTATAACTTGTAATTACGCCAATTTCTTAAAAGCTTCATATCAAATTTCAAAATTTGACGTAACTCATGATTTCGTTGAAACAATAATCAATTTTACGAATAACCAATAATTTTGAATATCTATATTCTAAAGGCAAAGCCTTTTTAAATATCTTTAATATTGAATTTTTCAAAACAAAGTTTTTTAAACATTTTTAATCATACTTGGAAAGTAGATTTTAAACTATAGTTAGACTAACAATATTTATAATTCTTCATAAGTATTTAATTTATTTTAAAATAGTCATTGCATCTTTTTGTGAGTATTGAAAAAAAGAATTTCTGTATTATAAAGTGTTCCTTGGGTACTATTATTCAAATTTTAATTTTTTTACACTTCTCGTTTTGTTGTTATGAAATTGAAAAGACAGCGGTTGATTCTGATTTTTAAAGCTTTATGTGTGTTACTAATGAACAGTAAGTCGAAAGTTTTATAAATGTGGTGTTTGCATTTATTGTCTATTGAAAAAGCAAAATCATAATCACCATTGTATAAACCTGTCAAAGAAGTAGATTTTTGAATTGAACATCACTGTTAACACTGATAAATGAATTGTATATTTCAACAATGCAAAAGATCAAATCTAACAAATATTTTCATTTCTGTTGTTTCTATCTGTTGTTTGTAGCTTTTTGTTAGATACTTATTTTTGAGGTGGAGCGCAAGACTCGACAAATTCTAAAAGTGGGAGACCTGCTCTGGATGTTCCCAACATTATACATAATATGAATTTGTTGTGTTCCAGAGATCTATATTATCAAAAACGCAAGCTTGTCTCTGTATTTCATATTCTTCAATTTCCTATACTCGTGAATGAGCATTATCTTTGAACTGTTCATCAACTTTTATTCGCTAATAATTTGTTTCAATTCACATGGATTATATTTTTCAATTGAATATATATTATACCATTTTGATTCTTAATGTTTTTGCTTTTTTTATAGCTTTTTGTGTATCCTATATGTAGTGAATAATTATAAGTAAGATGTCTTCATCTAAAACAAGAATTCAAAATTATCTGCGGCAAAACAAAATTAGTGAACTTTTTGAGGTTTGACATTTATTGCTATTTTTTTTAATATTCTTAGATTATCAGATGTCAAGTGTATACGGTGAAGTGTATAAAAAGAGGTATCATTGGAATTTTGATAAACATATTGTTTTAGTTAAATAAATACATTATGTAAATCTAATATCAGCTGAATTTAGTTTTGTTTGGTATTTTTGAACCCTGAATCCTCATCTGTAAATAGTTTAAAAATTTCAGCAGATCAATTTGTTCAAAGTCAGTTTTTGCTGTAAATATGGTAGATTTTGCATCAACTTTCGAAACAATTTTTTGAATATCATTTTTTCCTCACATTTTTTTATTTAAATCATTTGACTTTTAAATAAAAGCAAATTCAGGATTACGATCAATACACATACAATTGTTTTCTTTAATTTTTCTGTTAGAAAAACCCTATGGATACTCCATTTTCTCTTCTCCAAATCAGCTATGAAATTCCATCCTAATTTATGTATGAAAGAGATGGCTTTAAATAGGTTCGATAAATTGCTGCCATTTGCCTAGATTCTGGTCCAGCTCAGGTAGGGAGTAGCTAACTGGTTGTTAGATAAATAGACTTGGAGACACACAATTATCTCTCTGGGATTTAAACCAATTATTTATGTTATGACAATAATGTCTTTTCTCTTTTTTAGGAAATGATGGGAAAGTTAATCAAAGATCTGCCAGCGAGTCCAATACATTATTTGGCAAATTTATTGCAAAATAAAGAAAAAAAAATAAAGCACGTAAGAAATAGTTCTAAAATTCTTTCTAAATCTTGTTATTATTTTTATTTAAAAGAACTTTCCTTCAGATTGTACGGGATGACAGCACTACAACTAAAGAAAACAAAGTAGAAATCAGCAGTAATGCAATGCTGTGGGCCACAGGTTAGTATCTTAAATTATTTAGGCCTGCTTTTTGATTTGTAGGGTGATAGCTAATCATTTGGTTATCTAAAGCCGTAGTTCTTAAAGTGTGCGTCGCGACGCCTAGGTGCGTCGTTTCAATTTTGCTAGGGCGTTGCAAAACTTTTTCCTTTTGTGGAATTGTACCTGTGGTGTGTAGAAAAGTTGAAATTCTCGTTTGAATCACACTTGAACTGGAGATGACAATATACTTATTATTGTAACGATCAATCTTATCTATTTGTGATCTCACTAACGTCACGGGTCATTTAATGCTGTTCCAATTATGACATCACAAACACAGAGTCGGTCAGCTCGAGCCATGCATATCATTCATTTCTAATCCTTTCATGAACATGAGCATGTCGAGCAATGTTGAGCGACGTTCAGCACTTCGTCTACGCATTGATTCGAACGACTCAATATTGACACCCCGGCAGTTTTCTTCAGGCATAATTTTGATGAAACTCATTGCAAAAAAGGTTTTTTATTAAAAGGTATCAAAAACGTTTTTCACAGGAAGTCACATCTTGATCATTTTTTTTCGAGGGCGTCGCAATACCAAGAAGTTTGAGAACCACTGACCTAAAGCATATTATCTATCATTTACCATATTTATCATACATTTTTAATTATTTCAAATGCCCCATTGTTCCAAACATTGATATTTTTTCTCAATTTTTCAAATTTTCTCAATTTGAAATCTTCGACTAATAGCACCTGCACAAATGAAACCAACTTCTCCCAGAGATAAAACATCACAACAGTCAACATCACCTGAGGTCAGAAAGTATGACAAACCTTGGCAAACACATTCAAAGAAATCTCCCGCTAAATCAAAATCAGGTGTTTTTAGGTTTTCTGTATTTTATTTACAATATTTGGCATATATTATAGTTGATATTTACAAGAAGGCCAAGTTTAAAATACATGTTAGTGAATTTAGCTCCTAACCGTCTAATTATTTTTTCACATTTATATTATTATAATACTTGGTATAAGCAGTCTCATTTTTCATATTTCGAATATATCATTATAACTAAATAAATATTATATACATGGTGGGGAAATGGGGCAAAAAACTGTATTTCATTCTTGATAAATTCATAAAAAATTTAAAACATGAGAGATTTTTTGGCCTCACCCTGTTTATAATCAAATATATTATTTTTATTTTTAACATGGATTTTTTTAAAGAGCGCTGAAGTTATAAAAATGTTTATACATTTTCATGCTATTATTTCATAAAAGATTTGACTATGGAATTTGAGTTTATTTTCATTACACATTTTATAATTTATGTGATTAAAGCTTAATATAGTATCAAAAGAAATCTGGAGTATGTGATAATTTATGTAAGGCAAGACAAGAAAATTTATACTTCTATTTAACAAGTAAATGGTGCTACTGCTAGCTATAATCTGATTTATGTACTTTCAACTTCAAACTTGTTTTTAGGTTCCAAATTGAATCAAACTACACCAGTAACCAAATCAACAAAAAATGAAAAGCCAGAATGGAATCAAAAAACGAAAATATCTTCAGGAGATAAAATAGATGATGTAATAGATGGTGGCGATGATCAAGTATGTTCATTCATCATAGTTTACATTGATTTTTGTACGGCCATATTTGAGATAAATCAAAGATGAAAAATCGTAGGCTATCATTCTAAATTCTAATAGAATGAGTTTTTAATTTTGATTTAAAATAATTTATATATATGCTCACATAAATTACATTATTTCGAAGTTGTTACATTTCAAGGCAACATTTATTGCTATCTCATGTTAGAAATCTCGGGTTCAAGTACTGTCTTGTCCAGCTATTATCCCAAGCTACCAACGGCCACAATTGCTGTTATTATTGTCTAATTTTTACATTTAAAATCATATTATTCCCTGATGGCTTGCAGATAGATGGGTTTTGAGGTCATTTAGAATACCAATTATTTATAAGTGAGAGGAATGTGACAAATAATCAAAAATTATCGAGTTCTAAAGCAGGGGTTCTCAACCTTTTTCCTGTTAAGTACCCCCCGAGTCATGAAACAATCAACCCGAACCTCCAATAATCAGACACCACACAATGTTGTTATATATTGACTAACAATTTGCTGCAACAACAATTTATTGACCAACTGCTGTAACTAAATTAAAACTTCGTGTTAAAGAATGTTATTGCTCTTGTCCTCTAATTACTACTAATTTACTAATGAATTCTCAAGTTTCAATTAGCATATCTCATTTTGCAATGCTTGCAGCACATTATTAAGGTTTTACAGTTTGGCTACAAAGCTGTGGATTTCACATTGTTGCGTCACAGCAATGCAAAATCAGGGAAAATCTTTGCTGAATTTCAATCGGCAGGCATTTTCCTCTAGTAGTATAGATAGAATATTAAAAAATAGCAGCACGTGAAAACTCATCTGCCATTTCCAGATACCCCTGAAAATCTTTCTGTGAACCCATGGAGGTTCGCGAACCCCAGGTTAAGAACCCTTGTTCTAAATACTTTTTCGCGATTTTGAAAAATATCATTGTTTAGATTGATCTAGGACTTGTTTATGCCAAACCTAAAGTTGTTGGTGAACATCAAGTGAAAGTAAAAACTGACGAGGAAGATATTGAATCAGAACTTTCTTTATCAGGTATGGTTATTTAAAAAAAATAATATGATTTACATTCTTTCTTGTATTTCGTTCAGGTTGATTCTAGTTATTGTTAATCTAAAGATAATGATTTTAATTTAATGCCCTGGCAAGCAAATAGGGACAAAAAATTATTTGAATTATGTTAACATATAGGGTTGTGGAATTTATTTTATACGATTTTAAATTTGATTGTCTTTCTCTCATATTGGTTTTGAATAAGGCTCAAAACAAGCAGTCAGTTGCATGAAGCTGCTGCAATTTTATCAGATATGATCGGGAATTTAATATACCTTCAGAATGGGCTCTTTACTAGGCTAATGGGGATTTGAAGCCAGACCACGTTTTCCCTATTTTGATTTGCATACAACATGATGCACTAAATATATTTGATTCATATAAACTGTTTGCATGAAACATTTTTCGATATTGAAATGTAAGTCTTCGAACAAGGCTCTCAACACCCAGGTAGTGGGCTAGTATATTCAGCGGGTTAGAATCTCCTCATTTGGAAGCAAAATCTTCAACCCACACGTGTCTTTAACAAGTTTTTTTTAATTCCGCATATTTGGGAAATACAATTTTTTCAAATCAAATTTTCTGATTCCACACTGGTAGTGTTTACTCACAGTCGGCTATGGTATATTTTCAAGGTAAATATAAAACTGAAGAAAACAAAAAAAGTGACAATGTATCAACATCAAAAAAATCTGCCAAAATGTCAGCTAAGGAGGCAAAAAGGAAAAGATTAGAAGAGTTGAAGTAGGTTTCTGTAAGATTGAAATTGAACAGAGACGAAGGACTTGAAGTTTATAGCATAATATTGTAGTATTGCTCAGGGGCATCGCCGCATAGCCAGGGGGGTTGAAACCCCACCCTTCTTTTGAAAATTTTTGAAGACTGAAGTGGTCTCCTGTTGCTAATTTTTGTCACCTTTTATAGCCAATCTATATTTCTATGTGTTAATTTGAATTGACATCTATTCATTTATCTATATGTTATATTAAGTACGGAATAATCATAAACAATACGTCATTCATTTCAATTTTATTTATTTTAATGATTATCTATCGTCATATATATTGATTAATTTTTTGACAAAACATCAATGAAATATTTTATATATAAATTCACATACATTTCTTAAGCATCCAATTTTGTGGTATGATATTGATTTAAATATTTTTCTAGAAAAATGGTTGACGAATCGCAGTCAAAATCTTCCAAACCTAAATCAATATCACCCGTTACTATAAATAGTGATGAAACTGACGATGGTGCTCTTGAAATATTAGAAGATGCTGACGAATTAATTCGTGAAGGTGTCAAGGTATGCCATCAAGAAAATGTTGATTTATTTGAATTAACATGTTCTTAGTTATTATTTAGAAGAGTAGCATGGCTCATAGACAAGTTACATTAGGTGGGTTTGTATGGGTATAATGACTTAGTCGTCTCATTGACTTACCGATCCGGGCTTGATATGTATAATCATTTGTCATAATTCGATCTGTTTACAGTATATTTTGTGCATATTCGACAGTGAAATTTAATTTATCGGTATTTCAAATTAAAAAAAAAAGTTTATGTTTTGTATATCATGGATATTTTTGTGCTTGAACGTGACGTCATCTAGTTTATTTATTTTTTTCAAGAAAATTTTTTGAATGCAAGGGCAAACACACTCACTTAAAATAAGAAGAAACCGGTCTCTGAGTACAGTTACGCTACTTAAATTACAGAGATTCATGGTAGTGCAATGTACATGGACAAAATGAGAAACTTTACGGTTTTTCTATAACTCTTTTTGCAATAAATTTTTCTTAATTCTAGAATCCACCTAAAACTGGTGTTGTTGTTGGAAGATCTGGTCGAAAATCAAAAGATGAAATTGAGTTTGTTTTGAACATGTCAAAGTAAGCCAACGTCAAATGAGAAATGCTTAAAGCTATTTTGTAATCAAACTTTTTGAAAAGAGTAAAAACAGTAAAAGAGTTGGTGTGATTCCATTTTTCTTGGGTCATTAGGTCCATGTATCTGAAACTAGAATCTGGAACTATTTCCATACCTGAACGGCAACCAGACACACTGTGATTCTATTAATGATTACGCTGTTTTATCATCTCTCCCGAATAAATATGAAAATCCTAGGATAGGATGGAATTTTCATATTTATCTCGGTGGAAAGGAAAGACCATAATACAGCTTAATCATATGGCGAACCACGGCCTCCCATCTGGTTATCATTCCATGTAGGGTATGGGATTAGTTAGCCAGTTATTTGTTTACGGAAGCATGGACTTGATGGAGGAAGCCATAACCGACCAGCAGTTACGTAAACTACCCTACGACTTTGAGGAGTCCAGCAATCCTCTTTCACATAACTATCCCGCATGGGATTTGATCATGCGAACCCACGTTGGGTGATCAGAGATCACATCACTTGGTGGCGAGCGTATTCCTAACGCTTAGTAGATGCGCCACACCGTCGATCATCCTACCAGTTTTTTTTGTTTAGTCTGGTACTTTTCGAAGATTTTAATACTCACAAATCTTTGGTTAAATCTACTACCCCAAGGAGGCCTATTGTGAGCATCGTTATTGTTTATGATTATCAACCCCAATTCCAATGTTTCTACTGACTGAGTTGAAATGATATATTTTAGGAAAATCTTTCTGTTTTAGATTTTTTGATGAACTTGGAGGTATGGAAGGTTTAAATCAAACCAATAAAGGAAGTGATGTACAAAATAAATTTGATGAAGATGATGATGACTTCGAAAGTGCTTCACAGGTGGGCTTGGAATTTGTAAATATAACATGATTCGCATAAATGTGTAGTTTTGCATAATAAGTATTTCGATGCACAGATGTCCATAACGAATCCAATTTTTGAATATCTTTGAAATCGTCTATATTTAATATCTTAACTTCTTGATTGTAGGAATATTTTGGAATAGTTTTATCTGAAAGAAAAATCTCATTTTGAGCATTTGACATCCCATGGTTAAATAAAAAATAGATTTCATTTAACTTCTGGTGATGCAAAAAATATACCTAATGTATGTATATACATAAGCATTGAAGCAGATACAGGATATATATTCTGCATAGAAAAACAATATTCATTGATTACAATTTCTCTGCTAAACATTTCCGACAATTTCTCTGTTAGAAATTCCTCTGTTGAATATTAACTTATCATAATATATTCGGAATAGTATTTTATACGCTCTCGACTCGTCTGTTTTTTAAATATGGCTTAATCCGAACCGCTTGTATTAGTTAGTCATGGCCAATCAATCTTTAAATCAGTGGTATTTTATTTTGCAGGTCACTGGACCACGTAAACCAGTGTGGGAAGCTCCAGAATCAGATGTAGAATCTGTGCTTTCACAAATAAAAAGTGCAAGAAGATCTGATATTAATGTAGAGTCATTTGTTTCAAGGTAGAATATATGAATGTATAAAATGAATCGCACTCCGGTAGTATATGCACCAAGATGGCGCACAACCTGAACATAGTATGTGTACCAGGTTAGGGTTCCGGTTGTGTGCCATCGTGGTGCACATCTACAGGAGCACCAAATGAATCAATTAGCCTGAAACTGAGAATAATGACGATGTGACGATCTGGTTACGTGTTTACTGTAGGTTTGACTAAAAATCAGTGAACAATATCTGGGATTGAAAGAATAACAGGAATGAATATAGCACAATTTAATTTGAAAACATCGTCAACTACGCACCTGTGTTTCTTAACATTTTAATTTATGTTTCGTTATCACATTGATGAAAATAAGACAACATGTAGCTTAAAAACAAGGGGAAAGGACCCTTGAAAGCCCTTCTAACAAGCCATATCTATTAAGACATTTTAATAAATGAATGGAAATACCGAATTGTCCCCTTGGTATTTATTATTAGATCTGCTGCTAAAAAGCAAGTTGAGCCGAAACCCGAAAAGCAAAAGCGAAAATCATCAGAAACAAGTCGTCCACGCACAGCTCCTTCCAGATCTCATTCTAATGTTGAAATGAATGGAGAACATAGCAATGGTTTGTTTCCTTTTATGTAGTATTGGGTCTTACTTTTTCAGTTAGTTTCAAATAGTAAATTTTAGAATCAATTTGCTTTTCAAAATTCAGAATTTTTTTTTTCGACGGAAACATGAACGTATTCTTGTTAAAGATCATTCATTTGAAGCAGTATCTTGATTTGTTTGAAATTTTATTTAGTCAAATTTAACATATCATATGGCTGAAAACACCTATATTTAAATATTTTCATATTATTATTAGCATTTTCGCCAAGCAATGCACCTGAACAATGATGTGTTTTAATTTTTGGCAGGCATTGGAATAGCTATTTTAGACCTGATTCTATTTTAGAAAATTGTAGTGAGCTAGATTTGAAGGTGCAACCACTTCAAGCTACTGTCGAAGAGAAGTCGAATTTGGCTTTCATCGATTATTATTGTTAATGTGATTATTTATCATAAAGGACGTGAAACATACAGAGTAATGGATCCTAAATCAACCAAATCACCTCGTAGTCGACCAACGACCCCAAAAGGAAGTGAAATAGGAATGGCAAGTCGGAGATTATCACAAGCATCGAACTTATCAGATGCACCCAAGAAAACTAGTGAGGGTGTGAAAGTAAGCTAGTTTAATATTATCAATTGTATTATTTATACACAATATTTTGCTTTTGCGTTTTCCTGTTGAAGAACACTGTTTCCATATAAAGTTTTTTCATGGCCTTTTGTATTTTTTTTCCTATTTTTTTTTCTGTGTCATATTTATCATGCTTAACCCTTTCCATGCGATTTTTATTTTTTATTAAATAATCGTATTTGCTATGCCGATTTTATGCATTTGTACCCCCACAACTAATCGATCGACTAACGAAAAACTAATGATCCTCTGCTGCCCACTGACGGCTCGTTGGAAAGCTTATTTAAAGAGCTTGCAATTGGCGATTAAAAAAAAAAGTTTTTTTAAAAGTGGTGGTCTGAGTCACAAACCGGATAGAAAAAAGGCATTTTTTTTCTTGGGAGTTGAAACTTCAAACCGTGATAAAAAATAGAAATATTCGCTAAATCCTTTACTGTTACCGCTTCGTGGTTGGCAAACAATAGCATAATATTGCTGTAGCAATTTCGTGATCCAACTCAAAATACTTTGGTAGATGGAAGGGATAATATGTCTTCTATTACCACCCAAGAAACACCGAAATTTGCATAAATTTCAAAAACACTCCCTCGTTCCACCGCAAATAAATTTCCCGTTGTAAACGAAAGCGAGATTTACCGTCGCTTATGTTAATCTCGAAGAAGACTTCTTATCAATAAACTAAAACTCGAAAAAACTTGACCAACAATTTGCAACCGATTGCTAAATAAAACAGTGGAGTACATCAACGTACCCGCCGCAATCTAGCGACTTTTGTCGTGGGTACGTATACGTGCCCACCGCACGGAAAGGGTTAAACCATACAATCATACATGCTTTCATAATTATTTTTTTCCTCAAAAAATTGTTTTATAGCCAAGTACTGTTTTGTTGTTCTTGTGTTTACTTCAAGCAACTTTGAGATCTTTTTCATACAATTTATTCATTTATATTTTTCACTCTAAACAAGGCTCTATACAGACTCATAGAATTCTATGAATGACAGGAACGCGAAATTTCAGTTTAATCTGATCATTTCAAAATTGATTACACCATAAAGAAGCAATGTATATTGAACAATACATATATTAATTTGTCTTTTTTAGAATAAAGATAAGAAAAAGAAGAAAAAATCTGATCCTGCAGATGGTATGGTATTCGATATATTTATTATGTTTAGATATCATCACTCTGAATAATGCTTCGCATAAGTAGTGTTCAACAGGTGGAGAGCTACAAATATTTGAAACAGCGAGAATCTTTCTGTAAATCATATCTTGCCAAATCTGACAGCCTGGATAAAGTGTCGGGCTTGATAGCTTGATTCATAGGGCTTAAACATTGGATTTCTAGCTTTTTATTATCAAAATAACATGCTTTGCACACTAATCCATTGTTCACACCAATTTTGGCAGGGTGGAAGCGAAACCCCAATAAACACACCAGAGGCTAGGAAACCCCAGTGCAGTTGATTATATTATAATATTTGTTATCATAAAATAAGCCAATCAAAAAATATGAGAAAAGTTGAGGAAGATTAGGAAGAAACTGAAAATAAATTGACCAGTTCAAAAATATGCTTTTAAAATAAATTTGACGTGGAACACTTGAAGCTCTTAGGGAACACTACTGTACCTTGATTATTTTTGAACAATATACATATAATAACACAGACTCTCGTATTTGCATGTAAATCTGTGAAACCCCTGGACTGTACTGGCGGAACCCTGGAGTTCTGCGGAACGACGGCTGAAAACTACTGGTTCACACATTTAACTCTTGATTAAGGAATTTGATGTATTTTATTTCAGCAAATGTTGTATATGTCTCAGATATAGAGTGTGTACTTACTAGTAGTGATTTTTTTGATATTACATCATTGAATATTTCTTGTTCTCAGATGTACCTGACACCAAACCAAAAAATCATTGATATTTATCCAAAAATGAGAAAAACAGAATGTTCCAGTGGAAAAAGATGCAATATGTTGGTAGTGATGGTAGCAAATCAAACATAAATAAGCATGATGCACAAAAAGAGCTCAAACAGATCATTGGAATCCGTGACCTAATTTCGAAACATGATTTTAACCATTTTAAAATGTTTCGGATTTTTATTCTATTGCACAAAATTTTTATTGCCTTTTAATATTTCACAATCCGTCCATGATTTCTATCTATTTCATATTATCAATTTTGATACTTTTTTATTTTGTATTATGGTGCTATTAAACTTTGGTGTATTTTTTACCATTTATCAAAGCTTACTAAATCACTAGTGCTTCGTATATAAACAGCCTTAATTCATTATTTACAATTTATACTTATAGATTCATATAAACAAAATTATGATTATTAATAAATATCTTTATGCATGGTTGTCTCTTTGGATAGACTCTGAAGTAGATTCAGGTGATCAATTGTAATACTGGAATAAAAATTTGGGTAATAATAAAATATAAATCGAATTTTTTTTTGGTCCAATTGTCAGGATTACCGTACGTACATTCAGTAAATGCCATATTTTGTTACAATTTGCTGAAATGCGGTTAATTGCTGTTCGATCATGTGTATTTTGTTATGTCAGAAGAAGTTGGCGAATGACGTCTTGAATAAAACTGCTTGTTGGTTATTTCCATTCAAGTGCTATCGGCCAATCTTTATATGTAATCCGTCAACCGGTAGATATACCACGGTTATATCTTTGAATAATATTATCTAAACTGCTAAACTTTTAGCATATGCAAAGGTGGAGAGTTGTTCACCAACACTCTCAACTGATTTCTAACTCTCCCTAACATCTATCAGTTGGGTTTATGCAAGACTATTTACCTATTCTTTCTCTTTTATGCTGAGGAATCTATATTGACATTCCCATGGTCTTGAAATGTCCATAATTTTAATTTTCACCCTTGGTATATGTTGTAAAAGCACAATCATAGTAGTGTGCTGCAAGACTTTTGATCGATGAGTTTAAGCGAATTGGTAATCACTAACTTCTGCCCTACCTGATGTGGTTCATTCATTTTGACACAATGCGTTCACCTAATTACCTTTCCTCTCAAATATATAGATAAAAATGCAGGCTTCAATTTCGAAAGTATGATCGATCTCATACAAAGATGTTTTTTTACAATATCCAGGTATTCTTACAATATCATGTCTAAGCTGATAGACGCCAGTCACAATTAAACTATTAATATTTATTTACATATCATTCCATAAGGGAATAAACAATATAAAACAGCTGGTTATAATTTAGAAGCTGTACATCATCAATAGTTTTGTCAAAATCTTGGGAAGTCCGTCGGCGAAGTAGAAAATGCAAAAAGATTCTTTCGTGTGTCACTTCTTTGGTGCTATTATACCTTCCAATTGAGTCTGAAATAGAATAGAGTGAAGAGTTTGAATTAAATAAGTGGATTGTATATTATTGTGGCAAAATCTAGCTCCAACAGTGGAGTGGAAAGTAGTTTGCTACCGAATTTAATAATAGTACAACTGGTATGAAATGAATGATATAAGTTCTCAGGTTGTTTGCTTTATAACATATTACAGTTTTGTCAGCTTATCTATAACTTTTAAAAATTTCATAACAATTCCAGTTTGTTGCAGATTCCAACTGTGAACAAATCTATTTCAGTTTTGGAATATAGCACGAAAAACTCAAAACTTTCCAGCAGTTTTGTGATTATATTACGCCAATTAATATTTTATTCAACTCTCACTTTAACCAGTTGGAAATTTAAAAGATTGATATTGAAGTGTTTTAAGAATAAGGGGGAATGATGAAATTTTGAGAAAAAATGTGTTTGAAATTATTACGAATAAATAGGTTGTTTTTAAGTTAGTATCTAATCATTATTTGAAGGACTATTTCAAAATAAATTTATAGGAGTTACAAAAGTAATTATGTTTCCCTCAATTTAAAAGATCTGCAGTAATTTTCATCATTCAAAGAATAGTACACAATCCTCTCACCTTCAGTTGTTGATTTGTTCGTTTTAAGAATTGGATTTCCTCGGAATGTTTCTTTTCTTCAACCTGTCTTCTCTCTGCTTCCCTCTTTTCAATCGATTCACATTTGGCTTTCAATTCATTCACAGTACGTTCAAGTTCTCTCTTTTCATTTTCAAGATCTGCGTTCTATTAAAATTAATAACTTGATAACATATATTAGCCCTGGACGAATCAAACTAAGGTAATATTTACCCAATTACAGGGCGTAATACATGGTTGAAGCAATAACTAAAATTATGTTTGGTTTCTGCAAAGACACACGATTGTCGTGATGAAAAACAGATTGATATGTACAAAAGCATCCTAAATGGGAGAATAGATTATTGGAACTGAGCGTTCGAATCCTTGGGAAAATGTAAATAATGTTCATCATCAATCGTTCCCAAGAACAACTATTTTAACTGATATCAACATAAAATATAATAATAAAATATGTATGTAATCAAATCTATCATAATCATTTAATATCGAATGTGAAACCAATCGGCGTGGTTATGTTTGTTCTGATCATGATTCACATAAACACTGTAGTGACAGTCTGACTGTTTCATACAGCAATCATTTGAAAATAAAATACACTTTATATGAGCAATATAATGGAGAAACGTAAATATGGCATTTCAAGGAGTGAAACACCAATACTGATTAATGGGCAGGGACACCCGTGGTTAAGTCTAACAGTAATTATTACAGGAGAAAAAAAGTTGAACATATCATTAAAAAGTTCACAGCAGGGATAAGCAACATTTTTTGTCGGTGGGCCATATAACCAACTTCAGACATCTAGCTGGGCCAATCAATAATGTAGTTTTTCCATGTTGAAAAGGATAACACAAACTGGCTTGATGGGCCATGCTGTGGGCCTTGGGCCGCCTGTTGCACAACCCTGGTTTACTGCAATGAAACAAACTCAAAAATACAAAATAATATACAAAAATAAGACTCCGAGCACTGTCAACTACGGTAACCATGGGAATGACATTCCACAGACACAGCAGCAATGAATACAGTACAGGTATCACAGAAAATTGTTTTGTTTGCCTTCAAGTGCATTGTTGTGATGGAAGCCGAGGTCACAGATAGGCAGAACCAAACCAA